AGCTTCCCAGGTAAAATTTCCTTTTATGTGGATAATATAAAATCATTTTTATGCCCCTTTCTTAATAAAGAATGCATAAGATGAATATTTTATGGGCTTTTATGCTTAATGCTTCTCACTACTCCAGTGCATGTGTTTTTCCTGGGTTTGGTTTGAAAAATAATTCCTTTAATTGAATGGGAGGGAAGTTGGTCTGAATACCCTGGATGTCATGGTTGCATCTCAGCTATCCAAGCTTCCTGAACTGACAGCTTGACATTAGCATGAGAGAGGGGGGAGAGGGAGAGATTGGAATGGAAGGGGGGGGGAAATGGAAGCCCAGCTGAGCCTCGTGAATAGCCAGCCAAGGTCAACTAACAATATGCATAGCTGGGAATTGAGCACCTGTTTCCTAAACAATATACAAGCACCTGATTGGACATTGGGGGGAGGGAACTTTCTTTTGTGTTGTTTGCACAGGAAACCCTCAAATTCATCTTGCGCTACTTCTGTAACCATTTCAGCTTCAGTAAAGTATAGTCTTGGTAAAACAAATGGCCAGGAGTCTTTCTTTCTTAAGATGATTGGGTGGGACAGTTAACATTGGACAATAAGGAAAGAGCACTGCCACTCTCTTCCATCTGTTAGTCTATTGATTGAATTATTTCAGTTTTAGCCATTTTTGTTAATATTTCAATTACCTTATTTTTCGGACTATAAGACACTCCGAACTATAAGACCTAGCTTTTGGGGAGGAAAACAAGAAAAAAAAAACGCCTCTCAGCAATTTGCCTCCTGGCAGCCAACAGCCTGCTCAGCTTCAGCACAGCCAGATTTAGCATGAGTAGCTGATTGTCAGTTGGATCTGCCTCTCGCAATACTGATGATCAGTTGTTCCAGTCTGCAGGGATTGCCACCGCCTATCACTGCTTCCATGCAGCCCGTTTTCTGTGGGGTGCACGGAGGCTGAAAATGGGGCACATGGAAGCGGCGATAGGCGATGGCGATCCCTGCAGACTGGAACAGCTGATTATCGGTATTCCGCGAGGCAGATCCAACCGACAATCAGCTGCTCGTGCTAAATCAGGCTGTGCTGAAGCTGACCAGTCTGTTTACTGTTTGCTGCAAGGAGGCAAATTGCTGGGAGGCAGAGGCCGAAGGGTGGGGGCTGGCAGATGGACAGCAACATTCGCTGTATAAGACGCACAGACATTTCCAGCCACTTTTGGAGGGGGAAAAGTGCGTTTTATACACTGAAAAATATGGTATTCACGAAAGACTTAAGGATTTAGTTTAACTTGTCCTGAATTTAGCTAATATGAACACAAGAGCCTCTTGGATGCATTCACTTATGTTAGATGCTACTATTACATGTAGACACAGGCACAAGAGAAGAGCAGCTTCCTCCTTTTATAGTCTATACATTTTGTACTTGTTTATTATTTACCACGCAACGAGCATAATATAGTGTTTCTGATAAGAGTTCTGCGTTTAAGTTACATCCAATTTTCATTTCCACTTTCTTAAAGAAAAACATTTTTTCTTTATAGCTTGATAAGTCTGTATTGGAAGCACTCCCTTCTGATCTTCGAGAACAAATAGAACATGCATATTCTCTTCAACTAATAGATGCCCATGATAATAGCAAAAAGGAACCAATAAATGGATGCAATATTAACTTTCCATCCCAGCCTGGTGGAACCGTTCTATTACAGATGCCAGATCTCAAAGAATCAAGCAATAATGCCGGGATTAATATAATAGCACTCCCAGCATTTTCACAGGTAAATGATAATATGTATTAGTAGATTTAATGTGGTAAAAATTTTCTATAGAAGTAGTTCTGTAGATTTCTAGTTAGAGACACCATTAATAAACTCTATTTCTTACCCTAGAGCCAAAAACGCAGAAGTTTAAATATTAATGTTTCAGTGATTTCATATCAGTGATATGATGACAAATGGATGCTTTATTACATAGGTGGATCCTGATGTTTTTGCTGCCCTTCCTTCAGAACTGCAGGAGGAACTTAGACAAGCATATGACCAAAGGCAAAATCATGTAGAGAACATATTTCAGCAATCAAGTGCCACTGGTAAGTCTTTGAATGCATTCCTATCAAATAACTATGTGTAATCTTTTTTATTGCAGCAAACATGTGTTACAATGGCTGGGCTGTAATTTCTTTAATTATAAAATGCTATGCAATTCTCACTTCTTTTTTCTCAGCATCAAAGAATCCAGTTACAAAAAGTAAGAAGAGAACTAGAAAGAAAATCCAAGTCAGCCCAGTAAAAACAAACCATAGTCCTTTCAAAAACAAGCGTTTGGGTAACCCTGCAAAAAATACGGTTGTTTCTGTTGGAAGTCCTCAGAAATTAATAGATAACTTCTTGAAACAGGAAAAAGCAATCAGTGACAATCCTCAGGTAATTTTATAAGCCAATTCAGCACTTCAGTATTTTTAAACTCATTCTGATTTAAAATCATAAATTTCTTATTTTTCTGGGGTTCTTGTGCTTGGGCTTTTTAAATGTTTCCTATTGAGAATATAGAGAAATTTCCATTTTTATTCTTTCTGGATAGATGGAAGAAGTACAAGCTGTTACAAATCCTTCCAGTCCATCTATTTCACAGCCATTATCATCTACCACAATTTGGCCTCAAGCACCTAATCTAGCAGGAGCTATTGAGTTTAACGATGTAAAGGCCTTGCTTAAGGAATGGATTACAACTATATCAGGTAAACTCTAGGCGTATTATTTTTTAATGAAAAGGATGGTGTGCCTTGTAAGCTAATTGAAACCAGGCTACATTTCATGTCTGTACTAGATGTCATCAAATAATAGCATTCTACAATCCTGGTATCATTGTTTGAACAGGAGATTTGAGTATTTAAAAATAGTTTTAATTGATTCTTAATATTATTTAAGAGCTACTGTGGCTTTCTACTATTGCTTGCATTCTGTAGTTTTCAAAGGATATTAGTCTTAAAGTGCCAGAGAAGTGTCTCTTCCAGTAAATATATTTCAAATTAGACAATGTTCAAAATCACAGAAAAGAGAATTCTACTTCTGTGCAGTGCTTTATAGTTTGGTGTATTACTAAGAACTGACTATTGATGCCACAGGTACAATTGTAGCAGTGTAACTAAGCAAACCGAAACAAACAAACAAAAAAACAGACTTCCGCTGATGAAATGGTATTTGCCTGGAGCTGTGGGGAGACCTTGATCAACCTCTTCTATGGAAGTTTCTTTTTTTTCTCATGATCAATCAAAATTATGAATATTTAAAGGACCATTGGGCTGTATGTATACTTCAAATTACACCCCCCATGAAGTGTGACTGTATTTTATTCTTTTATATTGGGCTTTTTATTGCTTATAAGCTGCCCAGAGTCACTCTGAGTGAGTGTACAGCCATATAAATCTAATAAATAAAATGGAGCAGCTTCATGGTGGCACAAACAAAAAGGGTTGAATTCCATACAGAATTTCATGGGAAGATGTGGCAGATACTGTGTAGGGTTTTAAAGTTCTTCTTTCAAATTGGTCTGTAAATTGAGACAACAGATAAGAATATGCTTTAAGCTATAATGATCACACACAAGATTTTGTATACATGAGCTTAATTTTCTTACTTGAAAGAGGCAATTTTTTTGTTTTAAAAGGAATATCAATTTATATCAGTGTCAGAATATCCATTAATTTAAAGCTGCTTAATCTCTGCCACTCAAAGAGGCATTCTATAAAGTATGTATAATTTTGTAGATCCCATGGAGGAAGACATTTTGCAAGTTGTGAAGTATTGTACTGATCTGATAGAAGAAAAGGATTTAGAAAAGCTGGATCTAGTCATAAAGTACATGAAAAGGTAACTAGATGCTAACTTATTTTTGATATATAGAAATAAAAAATCCAAATGACATTGAAAATAAGTTATAAAACTTTTTAGAATTTCAGATAGCAATTCTTTATACTTGCGTATCTTGCATTTGTCATATTATTTTCCCACAATTGAATATCTAGAACGTGTTCATTTGTGGTACTGCATCAATTATTTATTGTGGCTGTGATTTCTCTGCATTATTGTGGTGAGTTTGCACTTGCAAAGTTCTGGAAGATTTCTGAGAGGAAGCCTGTATGGCAGTCCTACCTCTCTTCTGCCTGCTTTGCCTTAACTTGCCCCAAATCGCCAGCATTGCAAAATTATTCCAGATTTATTAGGATATTATATCACCTACTTTATTAGGAGTGTTCTCTGTGACTCAGTACTCTGAATAGACATGAAAAAATATGGTGAGTTTTCCTTTTTTCCTTTTTGTTCAATTAAAATGTTTTTTTCCTTTTGTTCCCGGCCCTTTTACCACATGACCAAGGCCTACTGTTTATCTGAAATTTCACGTATGTTCCAGCTGCATGTCCACAATCATTAACAACCCTTTCTGCTTAACAGGATATTGTGTGGGTTCCTATCCATAGCCCAAAGTATTAGAATCGGAATTATCTTGCCTTCATATCTTCCTATGGGATAAGGCTTTAAAAGCTATTGCCATAGCTTCAAATAAATTTTCTCTCTTCAGCCTCAGTTTGCTAGATGCAAGTGCTTTTTCTGTCTCTTTATGGCCACATCTGTCAGTGAAATATTTAGCTCATCTATATACCAAAGTGGCATAGAATCATGAAGTTTTGGGACTTCATGAAAGATCACTCTTTCATGCCTCTTCCCCCATTTCAATAATTGACAAGGCCATGCCAAAATCCACAGATCAAAATTCTTGCAGTTTAATGACCTTTTGCTGAAATCGGGGACTATTGTCTTACTGCAGCTATCAAGTGACAATCAGCATTGTTTCCTCAACAAAAAGTTTCCCTTAGAAGAGGTAGTACTGTATTCACCATGTTCAGCTCTTCCACTACAGTGTTTTTACAGAGTGGTAAAGCAACTTGTCTTTTAAAGTTTAAGCGATGTGAAACTACTTGTTTGTATTTGGAATAAATTTCTTTTTCTGCTTTATTATTTATTCATTCAAGAAATCATTCACTCAAACAATTAAATAATTGTTAAACAATTAGAGGTTTCTCTGCCATCTTTATGGAAGTGCGTTTAGTTCTTCTTTCTCCCTTTCATGCCTGTTGATGTTTTTTCTGTCCCATTCCCTTCTTCCATAACCAGTGTTCCCACCCCCATAGCAGGATTAAATGGCTTGAAAGGAAACTGAATTGCAACATCAGTAGGAAGTATTAGGAACTTGTACCTATTCACCTTTTGCATCTATTGTAATCTTTCTAATGGTGGTGGCTTTGGCCTGTCAAAGAAGTATTCAGCCATCAAAAATCAGTCCTGGTTTACCTGATATAGTACAGTGATGAAATTGCATTAAATATGATCATCTTAATTCCCAAGAGCTTTAAATTCTACCCTTCCCAGGCATCTTTACTGCCATTTTTCTATTCCAGTTCTTTTAGAAGTTTGGAATCTTCTTTATGTGGTTGCAAATAAAATGTAGCTTTATCTGTTTACAGCAGGGGTGTCAAACTCAAGGCCCGGGGGCCAGATCCGGACAGTGGGGTGCTTAGATCTGGCCTGTGGGGCCACCTTGGAAACAGCAAAGGACCAGTCCGCAATGCCTCTGCCGGTGAAAATGGAGCTTGGGAGGGTCACAGGCGGCCTTCCCAAGCTGTTTTCACTGGCGGAGGGTTACAGGAAACCGTCGCAAACAAAAACAACCCAGGAGCCCATTTTTGCTGGTAGGGTGCTCAGGCCACCACAGGGCCCCCCAACATGAGTCCCCATCCTGGTCACGCCCACCCTGGCCCCCCAAGATGAAACACAACCCTGATGTGGCCATCAGTGAAATTGAGTTTGACACCCCGGGTTTACAGTAACAAATCTGTAACTTTGTGAGTCACATTTTTATGATATAAAATCAGCATGACGCACAGACTCCAAACAAGACAATTGTTTGCTTCTCTGTAACTAATTGAATGGCTATATGATTTCACATAATGCACCTGCCATTATTTCTTATATTGCTCCTTCTGCTAAGCTTCCCTGTTAAGGAATTGGGATATTTAGCAGTCCTGTATAAACCTACAGTTGAACAAGGTTTCAGACAACAGCTTAGCCAAAACCTGTTCTGTAATGTTCTACACCTGTGCAAGCCAATCAGTGTATATGCTCAGAATAATCCTAGCAGTTTTGGAGTTTTCCTGTTCTTTGAACTCTCCCACTAAATACCAGTTATACTCTTCGTTATTCATAAAATGTCTGCTTCAGTTTCCAAATTTGTAAACTGACAAATATTTTTACATTTCATTGTTTAAATCTCATGATTGAACACCTAAATGCAGAATGTATAATTTTGTATGTTTGTCTCGTGCCACTTTAAATTTATTTTTAAAATATTGCATAGACGGTTTACCTGCGAGTGTGTGTGTTTGCATATGTTTTTCCATCAACAAAACTTTGTTTCTAAGTATTTTCACACCAGAAAGTGAACTATAATTAATATAGCTAAGCATATTCTATGAGTTTGGCTGTGAATAGCCTATTCCAGTTCAAAATCTTGCTCTACAATCTATGAAAATGTGTGATAGTAAGCTTTCCTTTCCATTCTGTTACTTTTTTTTATCTCCACAGGCTAATGCAGCAGTCTGTAGAATCAGTATGGAACATGGCATTTGATTTCATTCTTGACAATGTTCAGGTTGTTCTGCAACAAACTTATGGAAGCACATTAAAAATTATCTGAACTGATCTTGTAGAAAAAGATATGGTAAGAGCCTGGAGCTCTCTGATAGCTGTACCATAAGTGCTTGTGAGGTATTTGCAAAGTGCATGATATTAAGCTGAGTTTTTATAAGTTGAATTTTTTTTAAAGGAGAAGGTGTTTTGTACATTTTCTTTCAGCAAAGTGCCAAAATTTGTCAGTATTGCATGTAAATAATTGTGTTTAAATTCTTTTATTGTAGAATAGAATCTATTTACAAAATGTTTGTTTATAAAAGTTTTATGGATTTTTACAGTGAAGTGTTTACAATTGTTTAATAAAGAATTGTATGTAATTTGTACATATTGTTTCACTCCTTTAATTTTCTTTTCTAAATGCTATAAATTTTGAACAGTCGGTATTAGTTTTCATATTTTTATTGGCTAAACATTTATCTTCAAGCTTAGCTATTTCACAGTGGGAGAAGGCTCCCTGGAAAGTGTTTACTTAGTGATTTGGACTTTTTAAAAAAAGAAATTCATTATTCTTGGAATTGTCTAACATGAACAACAGAATCCTGGCATCTGTCTCATAATTGGCTAAATCTGATAATATTAATGGAGTTTGGTTTGTTCCTATCAAACACATGTAAGAAATATTTTCCTATTCACAAAATACTCAAGTTTTCATTTTCATTTTCCTTCTATTTAAAGAGTTTCTGTTATAGCAGTCTATTAAAACCTTTAAAAATGTAAAGAGGTAAGAAGAATGTCTATTGGATTAGATCAAATTGCTGATCTTATAATGTAGCAAATGGACTTCTCTTTGTACCCACACTACTAGTGTGAAGAGATTTCTTCTTATCCCCATATCCACCTGGTAATTCTAGCAACATATCAACTGACGTTCACAACAGTCTCATTAAAACCTACGAAAATTCTCTTATCACAACATTTAATTTCAGAATTTGTAATATACTAGTCTTCATGAGGCTATATGAAAATGCTTTAATATTAAATAGAAAACAATGAGGATTGAATATTTACTTATGTTTATCTTATCAGGTAAAATTATACCTGTAGAATAGACTTAAGTTACAGCATATCTTGAGGTTTCTGCAGACTTGATTGTTTCTTACCTAAGTTAATCAGCTTCTTTCAATTGTAGAATTTTAACTATTCTTATTTCATTTACAATTTTAACTTTACTGATGTTTCCTGATAATTATGTTTGCAACTGGTTAAGGCCATTCTGCAAACATCAGGCAAAAACTAAAAGTAGGATTGTTGATAATCTGCCTTCCATGTAACCTTAGCAGTAAATACCATGATGCTATCAGTGTATAAGATCACCATCCAAAGAGGATTTAATTTTAGCCCACCTTTCCAGATGTGGTTTTGTACAATTATACAGTACAATTATACCTCATTTACACATTAATAGGATTACTGTACATAATTCTTCGACCATGCTGACCAGATCAAACTGCTCAACTGTGCTCTTCTAAGCATTTGGCAGAGATTTTATTCCATCTTTCTAACAAACAACCTACACAAGGACTATTGAAGTGTTCAGACCAGACACACGTAACTAAATTTTGACAGATATATTTGCATGCTGCACTGCCTTTATTAGGAATTAAATTATCAGAGTAATGTTCGTTTCTTTTATTTGCAGTTCGGCACTGATTAATTTGCCAAATTTCATAAACTGTACAAGCAATAAAAGGCAGCCAACTGTGCTTTACATCATTGTTTCACACCAACCAAGTACAGATAGCCAATTACCTAATTTTTCTATAATAAATTTCTATAGGCACAAAGCAGAAGTGATGAAAAAAATCAGGGGGAAAGAGGGTATGCATAAATAAAGATTTCTTACATCGAAAAAGTCCAAAAAATCACAAAGTCTTGTAAGAGTTTGATTAGGCAAATACCGTGGTACTGATCTTACTAGTATAAAAGTGAAATCTGAGTTATTTAATAAAAAATTATTTTCTTTTAATTTGGGGATGTGACGTGGAAAGGGCAAACTTTAAAAGTAGCCAGTACAAAGTGAAGGGCATTGGGAAAGATGCACAGGCACATTGGAACCACAGGGACATAAATTGACCACTGTCAAACCAGTGTAAGTTATTTGGTTTCTCATGGAAAACATTTTATCCACATTTTTCCCAGATGTTTGTTAAATACAACAGCATATTTATTATAAGCTGCTGTTGTTCTTATAATAGGAACTGTGGGCTTTTGCTAATCATTGCTCAAAAGTTTGACAGAACCTAGATGATTTCAAATACTTTCTTGAGCTCCACAATAAGTTGCCAGTCAGACTTCTGCATTTCATCTCTGAACCAGTCTTTCAGGGCATCAATGGACTGCCGACTAATCTATAAGTAGAAAATCAAAATGTTTGATATGAGACCCCTATTTGTAGGATTATTTGTAATATATAGCACAAATCTACATTTCATAAATTTCAGAAACCAAAGTTGCACCTTAGGCACTGTAATGATGTTCTCAACCATTTTTAATTTTAATCTCTAGAAGCAAAGAATGATTATCAAAATTTCTGTAACAGCCTCTCTTACCCCCACCCCGACCCCCAAATGCTGATATATCAGTCTAAATTCTATCCCATTTCAAAAAAGGCCTTTTGTCTTTACAGTCAAGCATAACATTCCGAATTTAAAAATGTTTACCTTGCTGACAAGAATATCAGTTGCTTCAAAATGTCGACCAAACATTTTTGGTGCTTCACCAGGAATTGGTTCTATTTTTACACAGACTTCTTGACCTTTTTTTGCAACATCTACTTGTTTATGATTTATTTCAATACTTGTAATTATTCCAATATCAATGAACTGTAATAAACATACTCTTTGTTAGCAATAAATTTGCAGAACAAGGGCATAAGCAAAATAAATATTCAAAATGTAACTAGATTTTTAATAACTTCTCCATGTAAAATCTGAAGAAAAGTATGGGAATCTATCTGTTAGGTGGTACTGTACATATGTGATTGAGCAGGGATGTCAAACTCAATTTCATTGAGGGCCGCATCAGGGTTGTATTTAACCTTGGAGGCCCAGGAGAAGGGCTGAGCATAGCCACGGTGGGCATGACACAGACCATACCTCCACACATAAGGTTTTGTACACTTATAAAAATAGATAGGCGTACATTTCTGTGATTTTGTTTTTTAATACTTACTTGATCTATGAGAGAGACTAGATCAAGAAACTGACTGCATAGGAAGACTAGAACTATAAATTATTGACTTAGGCTATAGTAGCAGAATCCTGCAAGCCTGAAATACTTTACCTTTCTTCCCTTTTATAACCTTCTGAGTCAAGGACGGCCTCCTGCAACACTCTGGAGGCCCCATTTTGGATCTGGAAGACCTCTTGCAGCACTCTGGCAGCCAAAACTGGTTGCGGTGGAGCTGCACATGCCCCCTCCACCCCCCAGCTGCCTTATTTTTGCTAGCAGAGGTACCACAGGCCGGTCCTTTGCTATTTCCAGGCTGGCCCGTGGGCCTTTGAGTTTGACATCCCTGTGATAGAGTATATAATGAAAGTTTGGGACTGGAGACCAATTATCTCTAAACAACTAAGAAAACCTTGGGAAAGCAGGTTTGTACACTGTTATTTATTTCGAAATATGTTTTATCAAATTTAACATTTGAAACTAGAAAAATGAATCCATAGGTAAAATCAATATTCCACAGAAGTCATGATAAAGGACATTTCATCGAAGAATCCAAGTTTCTAATCAATGCAACTTTACTGCAACATAGATGGTTGATTTATATATTTATAAACACCTATTATCAAAGTATATTACAATGAACTATTTTTTAAAAATCATTATCCAAATAACCCTTCTTTTTAAAAAGATAGAATATCTTTAAAGATATAGATTACTCACATTTTTACTAGGTACACAGATTGGAGTTCCCTGTTTTACCTGACCTGCGTCCACAAGGACTCCCATCACTATGGGATCACGAGAATTAAAAATAAATTGAGGAAGTATTTTCATCTTACAAGGGAATACTGCTATATGCCTGGGGGGAAAGGGGAGAGAAAGATGGCAAAGAACTGTTTAAATGTAATCTGAAAATAAAGCTACATGCACAAAAATCTATTTTTATTCTCAAGTACTACTACTGATAAATATAGAAGGGCACAGAAAGTTCTGCCATAGCACTCATCCTTTAGAACATGGGTGTGAAACTCGATTATGTCACGTGACATATTGTGTATATCAGGACTTTTCTGCATTTGTGGAGCTGGGGTGGCTGTGGCCTGCACACGACCCATCCAGCCCATGGACTGCCAGTTTTACAGGCCTGCTTTAGCAGTTTTACAGGCCTGTTGTTCGAACAGAGACTATTTCTGACCATGCTGAATTTTTGTAAAACTCCTGAAATATCCGTTTGGGGTCCCAAGTATGAATGAGAGTCTGTCTCTTGGTTTTATTGAGTGTTTTTCAGATGCTTGCCTGTTATGTGTTTTTATGTGTATATTATGTGTATTTTAACAACTGTTTCATTCAACAACCAAGATGCTGGTCCAAATTGCAGTAGTTAAGTGAGGATGTCCTGTATTTTTTACACTAACATTTTTCAGTTGAAATGAGAATGAAACACTATTATAGAACACTGGTCTTTAAAAAATAATTTTATAATTCACACACATGCAAACATAGTATTTGTATCTATATCTCTGTATGAGAATTCTACTTACTTGAATTCTTCTTGTTTCTGTTTTTTGTAGTCTTGCCTATATTTTGTGAAGGCATCAAATAAATGATATATAATTTCTGCACTAAAGATTCTAACCCCTAAACTATCAGCCATTTCCTGGGCATCTCGTTCAATCCTCACATCAAATGCCAAGATCACGGCATACCTTGAAAATAACAAATGATAATATTAGGCAGCTGCACATGAAGCTTCTTTAGAAATGCTACAAACATTTTGAAGGAAAATACTTACTGTGGATCATGCTCCAACATGACTGATGCCTTCATAACATCCTTTTTGTGCACAGGTCCTATATTAATTCCAGCATACTATCAGGAGACAAGAAAAAAAAAAACAGCTTGCCATTGATATAAATTCTGCAAATAATACCCAACAAAATCATGACCAAGAAAATAGAATCTTGGGTACTTACTGGCACCTCTGAAGTTTTCAAAAATTCAAGTAATGCTTCTAAAGATCCCAGGGTAGATGCCTGGACATAAACCCCCTTTTCTTCTAACTTTATGGCATTCAGTGTCTGCTTCAGTTCATGTATCAATTCATCCTTAAAATAAAAAAGGAAGGATTTTAGAAAACTTGCTTTTATGTGTCCAACGCTGGAAGTGGCATTATACACAATACACTTATGAACAATGCACACATCAGAGATACAGCTTTGTATTTAGGAACATGCCGCTGGAAGCTCAAACTGGTTTAAATTGACATAGCAGACAGCTCTACTACCCAAAGTAGAGACACAAGGTTAATTCACAAATATTTAAATTATTATTAGATTTTATCCCACCTTTTTAAAAAATAATAATAAATTCAAGTAAATCTCTTTTTTCTCCAGAGCACAATGAAAAGTTCAGTTCTATGATAATCAGTTTTTTCCCCTTAATTCCCCATTAAATGTTCCAAACTCTAAAACGTCAGCAATTATCTTAATTCAATCCTAATTTTACAGAATTGTCCTTTGTTTTTAACTAACATGTAACTTGAAACCTAGTAGCTTATCCAGATGGCACATACCTATAAGGCCTTTACTTCCCAATAATTTGATAACTATATGAGAACAATAATTGCTTCTAATTACATCTCACATTTAAAAATTTAAAAGTCAACAGTTGAGAACTGTTACTTTGCTTAAATTCCTTAAAAATCTGAAAAGTTCCTCATCGCTGGAATTTCATACGACTTATTCCTGATTGTTCTACTTTAGCACAATTGAGGCATTCATAGTGGAATTTTCTGGCTGCTGAAACTCCACTGATTCCGATGAAGATCATCTGTGCCTTACTTTAAGAACTGGAATTTCATCTTCTTTATAGGCTACAAGCAGGGGCAACCCAGCCAATGTTTTCTCCAGGTCCTTGCCAAGAATCTTTACTCCTTGTGCAGCAATAATTTCTTTGTGTTTTTCGTACTGATTCTACACAAACAGAAAGATGAATAGTTATTTTTCTGGTTTTCCAATTTATCACCTTTGTTTTAATTATATTAAGAACTGTCAAGAACTCCAATCATTTAACTCTATTCAGTCATTTGACAAGATGACAGATACACTATATTTATTTAATGGGTATCCTACAATTAATGAAACTGGAAGGAATTAATATGACAGTTGCTCTATGGTATTATCAGAAATGACAATTTTCATAAGAAGGCACTTCTTGAACAAAAATAACAACTAAATGTTCTGGTTTTTAGACAGTAAGAAGTGTTCTTATATCCAAATTTGAAGATAATACAATATAAAGGCTCTTAGATTAGATTCTACTGCACATCAGAAATATAATGTTGTTCTATCAGGACATAATAAAAGTGTTAGTTCACCTACACAAAAAGTTCCAAAATTGATCAAGTATTATGACAATAAATATTGTTCAATTAACCATTAATTTTAGAACATCCCTGCCAGAAAATCTTCAAAGTATAGCAAAACAGAATAAGGAAAAAATGAGAAATAAATGATATACAACAGTTTCAATATCAGACAATATGACAAAAACTACATGGAATCTCCTTTCCCAGACTTTATCATTTAAGAACCTGAATCTGTTATTTTTTGCTAATAGAAATTCAACAACAAAGAGCATAGATAAAATTAAATACTTTCACTCAGTATGACTGGACACAAAAACATTTCCCTAGTACTGTCATCTTTCACACAAATAGCACATTTCTTACAAAGGGTCATTACCGCAAAAATAAGAGTAATTTATCTGGGGGAAAGGAAGGGTGTATGACCTAGTAACATCATTGAGCAATTCATACACCATTAATCAATTTCAGGAACATTTTTTCATATGCTGTTTCCTTACCTTCACTCGTAATTCTTTCATGGGAGGTGGGAGCAAAAGGCCTCTTATCTGTGTTACTATGGGGCCTTCTACTCCAGGAACTATAATGGTATCACCTTCCTTCAGCCTTCCATTAATCAAAATGACATCTATTGTGGTACCCATTCCAGGAAGCGCTTTGACCTAAAAGACACAGGATTATATGTCTTAAATGGTTTGCCTCAGTCAAGTTTGTTGTATCAATTCAGTTATCTAAGCAGCATTTCAAAAGATTTGCTAGGTAAACATTACCTCCATAACCTGTGCTCTCAGCTCTTCACAGTGTGCCAGTCTCTTATTTAACATGGTTTGTGTCAATTCAACAAGAAGAGCAATTAAACTTCCCATACCATCTCCTGTATGAGCAGAGGTAGGAACCAGAGAAACAAATGTGCGGGGATCCTTATTTTCATAGTACAAGGCAGCATTCAAGCCCTAAAATAAGAAGCAGAACATTACAAAGTGAAAGAATGGGGAGAGCAGGGGAAGGAGGGGCTTCATTCCGCCTAGTCGAAAAAGAAACTTAGGAAGATGGAAAAATGGAATGCATTATCTAATATCCAATCCTCTCCCATTCAAGTCCACTCACCAGAATAAGTCTTCTATTTCAGTGGTAAAAATGTCTGATGACTCTGACTCATTCTGCAAAAGATCCCATAGTGGGGCAGACTATGGAGGATGAGATGATGTTGCCGATTATTTAAGCCTAAACCTTGTGAGACTTTCACAGCAAAAGTAGCACCTTGACTTTGGCTAAGACTATTACTGTTAATCAGTACAGGTATTTCAACACAGAGGTAAAGTGACACCTTTAAGAAGTGCTGCTTTTTAGAGTGATTCATACTGTCATATTGTATTCCAGACCTGCTCTAATTTCTATCTCATCTTCAAGGTTTGTGCCTTGAGTAGTAGTTGTCCACGTTACCAAAGCATCTGACATCAATATTAATAAGAATACTGGAAAATTATAATCAGAGTACTGATTACTACAAGTATCAAATCTAGATAAGCTTCTTCCTAACAGCTTGATACGATTAAATAACAGACAAAATGGAACTTTAAATTTAAATCTGAAATACATGTAGACCTTATATAAACAGTACTTCTCCCAGTACAACATTTCCCTCTCTCATTCTCCTGAAAATTACTATAGTCAATAGTACAAAAGTACTGACAAATCCAGTATTACTTCACTATGCCTCTTTCCAGCAGAGATCATTCATTGGACAAGTAAGGATGTCTCTCGACAGAATCTGAAAGCTGGACTGGAAAGGTTATTGATAATTGAGCCCTAGTGCTACTGCCTGCATTAAATTTGTTAAAATCACTATAAGGTACCAATTTATAATTATAAATTGTCCTGTCTAAGCCTGACTTCTTAGATGCAGGCAATCATCCCTAGGTATACCATATCTGTTCTCACTTTCCTCCTTTCTATCAACCATTTGATTACAATTTTGTTTGATCCTGGATGGTTAATGTGCTTGGGCTAGTTTTACCTACAGGAACTACAGCGTGCAAAGCATACTCAAGACATTTTTTTAACCAAATTGATACTCACCTGCTGGGCAAATTCTACTATGATAGCCTTAGCGCGTTCCTCAAATTCATCCTTTGTGTTTTTCTTCTGTTTCTTCAATGTGACAGCTACATCTGTATCTGGACTCTTTTTCCAATCATATAATCTATCAATCTAAAGAAGACAGAATTCACCACGATTTAATATTGCATTATTCAGGCAGATCTATATAGTAAATACTCTGTATGTATGGAAATAAGCAAGGTAGAATGGAATGGAAAGCAGAATAGAATAGAATCAAGTCGAATAGAGCAGAGCAGAACAGAACAATAACGTTATTCTCACTCTGAATGTACACTGATCAGCATACATTAAAATGAAATTTAATTGCATACAGCTCTCAAAGGGTCTCCACCTCCAATATATGCTACATAAACATGACAAAATAAATACAAAATTATGTATCATTTCCCCGAAAATACAACCTATTCCGAAAATACGCCCTAGCCTGATTTTTGGGGGTATAATATAATCCCTACCCCCAAAATAAGTCCTAGAGAAGGAGATGTGGCAAGCACAGGAGGCAGCCCTTCCCTTCCGCAGTCACCTCATGGAGGGTTGACCCTTAATCACAGCAAGGGCTGGGAGCTGCCTCTCATTCTGTCTCTCTGCAGAGGCCTCCCAGTGCAATGTTCTGCCACAGCTTCAGAGCAAATCTCCACCTTCCCTGCATAGGATTGCGAGACTGAAGGCTTCGGGGGGAGTATTTTTGGGATGTGCATCTGTGCAAAGCTCCCCAAGGATAGAATGATTGGCAGGGAAATTGAGGGAGGGGGGAATTTTCCAGCTGATTGGAGCAAGGCAAAGCCTCCAACCTTGCAATCCTATGCAGGGAAGGCGGACGTATGCTCTAAAGCTGCAGCAGTGTGTTGCACCAGGAGACCTCCACAGGTACCGGTAACATTTCTGAAATATTAACACCGTACTCACAGGAAAATCCCCCCCTCATCGTGGTTTGATTCGCTTTCTGTGAAGCTTTGTACTGAGAAAGGTCCATGCTTTCTGATTCCCTTCTCCTCCACCCCCCTCCTCCGGCTTTCCATCTCAGCTTTCAGAGACAACTGTCCGCCAGGGTGGAGGCTCCCTCGTGGGGTGCAATTGAACTTCCAACCCAGATCATCCCAAAGGTAAGTACAACTGTACGGTAATCATTAAGGCAATGTGATAATAGTTTTGGGGGGCATTGGTATGATGATTGCAATCTTAAAACATGATGGAACCACAGCCTGACACAACAAGGAGTTGAAGATGTCTGTAAGAACAGTGGTCAGCACACTCCTTAAGTACCCATCCAGGGATATTATCAGGACCAACAGTTTTCCAAGTATTGACATTCCACAGGATCTTCCGAACAACAGTTGTATCAAACCTGAAGCACCTGCTCATCAGGGATGGGAACAACCTTTCTTGCTGGAATGTTGTTTGTGGCCTCAAACCGTCCCCAAAACATATTCAGCTTGTTTAGAGAATCTGTGTCGTCCTTACATGTCAAAGAAGCTGCCTTATAGTCAGTAATGACCCAAGACATTGGAGGTCTTCTAATCCAACTCCCTACCTAGCCAGGAAACCCTATGCCCCAGCCATTTCAGGCAAAGGGAGAGAACCATTCCTTTGCAAAAAGCATTCTTAAACTGATATTCATTTTAGTACAATCCAGTATTAATCTTTCATATACAGAAGGCTACAGCATCAATTCAGTTCCATCCAGTCTTCCAAAAGGGACAAAATATTTATAGCTATGTTCACCTAATTTATTAAATGCTAGTAAATTATTTTATTTTCAGATAAATATAAGTACAGTAAACCCTTGATTTGATTAAGCTTCTATGCATGAGGAAAGCGTACAATCTGGATTGTCCGCCTCCTAGTCTAATACTTCAACCACTGCAACTATTTTGATAAGTAAATCGTTGATTATGGATGTGTGAAGCACAACCAAGGAGATAATTGCTAACATATTCTGCTTATAGATTTCTCAAGAAAATCCAGCTGTGCTGGGGTAGGAAAAAGGCATTGAGCAACATAGGCATTTACATACAAAAGGGCTTTAAGAAAAAAATCTGTAACAAAACAGCTGGTTTCTTACACTTTGCTAAATTTGCTTTAATAGTGATTAAAAGGTCACAATAAATGAGTTCACACATCCATAATCAATGCTTTTCATACCAAAATAGCTTAGCTCATGCAACATATAAAGCCAAAACAGAATACATCATTGAATACAAACCCATTCAATGAAAAGAGATCTTACCTTGTTAAGTGCAACTATAAAGGGACACTTTTTGGATTTCAGCAGGTTTATAGATTCAATTGTCTGAGGTTCCAAACCATGCATGATGTCTACTACAAGAATTGCAATATCACACAGTGAGCTTCCACGATTTCTAAGATTGCTGCAAATTAAAAGGGTATTGTCAACAACAGAAAAAAGCATGATCTGTAGTTTACCAAATTTGCAGTTTACCAAAGAATAAATAATGTGTATTCTTAATACAAATCATGTTAGGTAGAAAGATTGTAATATTTTTTTAAAACAAATTTTATTCAGTTTTCCATATTTTAGTGTCTCTTTTTAGTGAACAGCATGATTACAAGTTTCACATATACCTACAAATATGACCATCTTAAATTCTAATTAAAAAAGACACTTCTATAAATTGGTTTCCCCCTGAAATCTCAATATAAGTGCGCCACCTCTAAGTTATAAAATTCATTTATTTTTACCCCTTTTACATCTCGTTAAAAAATTTAACATTACCTAAAACATTAAACTTAATAATCCTTTTAAAACTACATAGCATATATAAATCAAATTCTGCATGATTTTTCTCCTTTTAAATGTCATTAAATTTCCCCGCCCCCCCCAAAAAGGACATATTAATCTACTCATTCACAGTAAAACAATCCTAAACCCTAAAGTTAATTTCATTTCAGCTCTCCTCCTATATCACTTCATTTATTTCCATATATTTAATACACATATTCCATTAATTATTCCATTCATATTTAAACCAAAAAAAGCCAACATTACAATCTTAAAAATATTTCAATATATCTAATATACATTCCATTATTTGTTACAATTATCTCTCTACATAAAGAGGAAGAGCATTAGATTCCATTATCCAAAAAAATAACAATTGTTTTTCCATCGTCTGTATGTCCCTATTTTGTAACTATAAATTTATTTATATTACCCCCTAATACCTTGCAGAATCCCCTTTCTATATAATAATCACCCATTATCTGTGTCCAATTAAGGATTTCCCCATTTTTTTACAATTCCCATATTTCTTTGTTTCCAAATCCTGTTTTTGTCCCTTCTTTCCCGTCTTTTCTCCTTTGTTCTTTCACTCCAGTTTTTATCCCTCTCTCTATTTACAGCTTCCTTTCGCCCTTTGAATTTCTGCTGGCTCTTTTTCCCTTTTTTAATTTTTCGGATATTCCCCTTTTTATTTAATTTCTTAAATCTCCTGTATTTATTTCCAACTCTTTCCTTCTTTCTTTCAATAGTTCTTGTTTCTCAATGATCACTAAAGATGGTCTCTTCTATGATTTGCTCCACCTCCTCTTCTGCCTTTTGTCTTTGTTGTTCATATTCTGCTGCCACGTTTTCAATAAATTTTAAAGCAAAACCCAGTGATTCACCCCGTTCTTGTAGTGTTTCTTTAATTTTTCTGAGTTCCATTTTTAATGCCAGAAGAGAAATCGCCATTTTACAACTTTCTGATTGGCAATTTAATCCAAATAGTATCTTCCTGTTTTGAGCTTCCCCAAAGACGGACCGCTGACCGCGATCGTGCATGGCTCTGGTTCGTACTTCGGCGTCGGAGAGCAGAAACTACCTCATAGGGGTGGCGGAGGAAGGGGAGACCGTCAGCTGGGTAGAGGGGAGTCGCAAATCCCCTCCCCGGCTTGGCAATTGCTCCCTCCCGAAGATGCCTGAAGCGGTGGTCTAAAATGGCCACCCTGAAGGGGAAGATTAGACTGGAATAAGATTGTGCCGGAGAGAGAGAAAGAAGCTAACAGCAGGAGGAATGGGATGATATAATCAAATAGAAGATGCCCCCAGGATTAACATTTCAAAGAATCTTTAAGAAAGGATCTAAGCGGCGAATAGAAAGAAAGAAAAAAAGGTGTGAATTGCTTTTGATAGCATCGGGGCTTCAAAACTGCAAAAGGTAGAAGCTGGAGAAGGAACTATATAATCAACTTGGATAAGTATACTTTGAGTTTATATTGGCCCTAATAAAGCTGAACTATAGACTGTTAAAGAGGAAATTTAATATCAACTGGATTTGATCTTTTTCTTGTTGGAAAATTGTGGTTTAAAAAGCTCTGAATAATAGAGAAGAAAAAAGAAAAGACGGGGTGAAGACTTAGCATAATAAAGAGTGCCATCTCAGTTAAACTCAACTTATTTTTCTTTTAAAAAACTTGTTTCTTGAAATTGCATGGAAATTGATACAATAAAGCAAGAACTTTGAAAAATTGAAACATGGTAACAAAGAAAGAATTAGGAAGATTCTGCCTTTGGATTAGTTGCTGATTCTGACCTGAATTTGGCACTGGATTAGCGGAGACTTACAAACTTGAGAGGAAGAAAAGTTGACTGTTGGAGAACGATTGTAATATTGATCAGTCCACATATAATACAGGTACAAGACAGCATACCACTTAAAATATATAAATAATTTCTGCCTCTGCAACTGTTTTTAACATTATATATTACAAAATGTAACCCCAAAATGATATAAATAATCTTACCTAAAAGACTCGTGTCCTGGAGTATCAATGATAAGCATTCCTGGAATCTTGACTGTTTCTTTGTCAAACTATTATTGCAAAATATTAATTAACTTGATATTTAGGCAAACCAAATTTTTATAACAGTTTCATGCTTGATGACATTTATTACAAATCTCAATCCTGTTTGAAGGTACATTAATATTTTAACTTTTAATATACAAGTTAACAATCAATTGAATAACTTTCACTTATTAGATGTAAGTCTTTTTAAGATCGTAGGTTAAGATATGCTTTTATTGTGAGCTCCATCTCTGTTGGCATTTGCAAAATTACAAATGAACATAGACATAAAAACCTCCATAAGGTAAGTAATTCAATTCTATGTATTCATGCAAATGCAGAATATTTCAGGTCAACCAAAATAGTCCTCTGAACATGGAACAAATAAACAGAAACCTCAAATTATCCACTGTCAACACTGATAATGATCATAGGCCAAATTCATACTATTATGTGGAATGCACTTAAAGGGCTGAAGGGCTTCTACTTACAGTTTTCACCATCTTTGCTTGTTCATTAATGGCTTCAAGAGGAACATTAGTTGCCCCAATCTGCTGAGTGATGCCACCTGCCTCACTGTCTTGCACATGAGTATGACGAAGCTATATGAAATATACCATATTTATTATGATATAGTATAAAACAGTTCTCAACTACAAGTGTTCAGTTCAAGTAAAAGCCAACAGTTTGTTTGCTAGCTAGTGCTATACCTGTGCTTACCTTATCTAGGATTTTTGTTTTTCCCGTGTCTACATGCCCCAGCACACAGATAACAGGTGCTCGTAGTTTCTCAGTATTTACGTTTTTATTATTTTCAATTCGACGTTTCTAAAATTAAAAAAATGAGAGTAAGTTTTACTCCCCCATTAAACAAAGTGAAATGCAAATAAGTCAGATTTGAGGATTTAAACATTTTCAAGATCAATGCAATATCCCCAGTGTTTATTAGTTTTCTTTTTAAAATAAACCTGAAGTTATAGGCTAGTTGACATCATAAGCATATATTTATATTTAGTTACATGCCATAATTCTGTATCAAAAGGGAATAATTCTGGATAAAATTCAGAGCTCTCTCCAGTCCATGGGGAAAAGGCAAAAAAACTGTTTGTGAAAATGTTTAACTAAATACCTCAATTCGACGTTTAGCTTTGTCATATGAACGTTCTTCTTTAGTGCGATCATCATCCGAATCAGACTCTGAATCTGAACTTATTTCTTTGTTTAGCTTTTTTTCTACAGTGTGTTTTGCAGCAGCTTGTAGGTCTGATTCCTTTTCATCTGAGGTTTTCTCTTCTTCACTTCCTTCACTTTCTCCTTCTTCATACTCTTCACTCTCTTCCATATCCTCATCTTCATCTTCATCCTCATCTTCATCATCTTCGTTTTGTTCTTTGACTTCAATATGGACAGTTTTTCTCTCTGATGAAGAAATACAAAAGTTACTTAATATGATTCTAATTTGGCTCACCCAACTCTGCTTTGCCCAGGTATTTATAGGTAATACTGCATATCGCTGAGATTTCTTTAGAGGTTTGTAGTATATAAAATATGTAACAGATATGCCGCAGACTCATTCCCATGACCAGCCACAAATGCAAAGGAGCAACAGTGCATCAAAAAGTCAAGCAATAGCTTGTTCTCTTATTGGTTGTTCCCACTACAGAAGATCTTGTTGAGAACAGAAATGTGGCCCTTCTAACAATGTTATCACTAGCCCTTCTCACCCAGTTAGACAGCTAGACAATTTTTAAAAATTATTGAACAGCTAAAGATTAACAGAAAAATAAGCCACACATAAACAAATAAAGCGATCTGCATTGCAGTTTAAAATATATATTCAGTTTTAAATACGCTTTTAATCATTTTTTTACATTGCTTGCTTACTTTCTCTTACTAAACCCAAGGCTTTAATGAAAACAAAAGTCTCACATGCCATGTAATATTTTGTTCTTTTTTCAAAAATTTACCCTTTTCTCTTTCTTCATCACTGGCCATAGCTTCCCAGTCATCTAATCCTCCATCTTCAGGTTCTTCCTCTTTTTCTTCTGAAACTAAACAATAATAGATTTTCTAGTAACAAAATTTACTTCATAGCTTACTAGACATTAAACTCATTTCTTACTGCCTGAAAATAAACATTTGAACATTTTTCACAAATATCATAAGAGTCACAGAGTCTCACACACAGATTAATTTAAGGAAATTAAATGAGGGTTCCTCAAAGAGCTGATTATGATATAATGAAATACTTAATGCCCAATTTAGAACTACCTGGTTCAGCTTGAAGATTAATCTCCTCTTGTTCAGGTACAACTATTTCTGCAGCTTCTTCCACCGGGGATGCCAATTCTGTAATATCTAAAATGCAATTTAAAATTATTAGTTATGACTATTTTAAATTCATGTCATTGTTCAAGAACACAGCTCCTACAACCTTACCTACATTACATTCTTCAATTAGCTTACAATATTTATGCTTCTAGGCTACCAAATAACCACAACCTCTAAGGGAAGTCCATTTGACAGATCGTCCACTATTTACTGCAGACTTCCCTACACTGTAAGCACAGTAAATTATAATTCCTGTGGTCTCTGCAGTAATGATATATCTACTTGATCAACTACTTTATGCATTAATGGCCAATGCAGGATGCAACAATGAAAATAAATATAAAATACCTATAGATTCATAAAACTTTTAATAATCCAAATAAGGTAGAAATTGCATCTTAATTATTATGAATATAAATCATTATGTCAATTCAAGCTATAAATCAGAAACATTATTCTATACCAAATTAATCAATCTTTTTTAAAAGGCATAGATCTTTTCAATTTATCTAATACATGGGTGTCAAACTTGCTGCGTCATGTTGCCGTCACATGACGTTTCACAATGTTTTCCCCATTTGCAGAGCTGGGGTAGGAGTGACCTACACAACGCATCCAGCCCGCAGGCCACCAGTGTGACACCCCTGATCTAATATGATAGCAGAGAAGAAATGAACATCACTTTATACAAACCAATTTGGAACATCTCAGATTCTTGCAATAATATTTTAGAAGTCAGTCAAAAATGTATAGAATCATAGAACAATAGGGGTGGGATGGAAGAGACCTTGGAGACTATCTAGTTCAGTCCCCCACCTGGTGCAGGAAAATTCACAGCAGGACATCTCCTGTGCTTAAAACACTTTAAATCACAAAAGAGATTCTCCCAATGGACCTTTCACTGGACTGCACAACCCACTGAAGACTATCCTGTGCTCCATACGTCTATATAGAGCAAAGGAGATACTTTGAAGCACACAGTGATTGAAATAATCTTTTCTTGATTTTTAACCTGTTTCTGTGTTTACAGTTATCCATAAACAACATTATCACCTTCTTTGCTTTCTTGCTGCTGTTGCTTTTTTTTCTTTTTGTCTTCATATATGGGTCTTTTTTTTGGTATTGAATCTTTGGATGGCACCTCCACACCTGCACATTAAACAAAAAAAAATCTTCACATAAACATTTGATGACAAGTGACTGAATTTGGAAATTAACAAGATAGGATAAAATTTGAGGACAAATATCTTGACAGTGTGTCTAGATTGAAACTTAGGACTTTTAATATGGATCAGTTAATCTGCTAGTGATTTGATTTTACACTGGTATTCTATTATTGAATAATAAATATTAGTATTTACAGTTTACATTCAGTGAAACATATACTGAAAACTGTAGTTAATAACAAAACATTTCTACTCTGTATGTTAAGCAAAGTAGTGCTGAAAAAAAGATGACTTGAATAGCAACAAAAAGCTGCACACAGAAGCGCAGACCTCATTTGTACTTTGGCTTATTAACATAGGATGGTTTAAACATGACAGCAGACAGCAGACACTCATTTACAATTGTACAACTTGATCGTAAGCAGATTTTGTCAATAATAAATTTTCACTTAATTGGAGACTATTCTGAAGTACAAGCATAAAATTGTGGTATTTTAAGTTAATACTTTACACAAATACAAATAAGAATTGCAAAACCACAGCTTTTCTATTAAAATGTCCCCGTGATATCCTAACAATCATACTCTAATGAAGTATGTATAGTATTTTATCCTAAACAGGACAGAAATAAGAAAATTATTATAAAGAGCAATCCTTACCCTGTGCTTGCAGCAACTTAAGAGTGACCTCTGCCCTGGCTTTGGATTCCCTTTGAGATTTGGTTAGAAGCTTTCCTTCCTTCTTCAAACGTTCTTTTCTCTCCTTTTCTTTTTGTTTTTTCCTTTCCTTTTTTTCTTGTTCCAAGCGTTCCTACAAAAATCAAGTTTTAGCCTCTTTATGACTTCCAGTGCACAGGGCTGGAACTTGGCATGCAAAAATGATAAGGCTGCAATGCTGCACACATTCAGTTGGGAGTCTTGTTTAGATTTCCCTCTAAATAAATGTATATACCATTGCATTACAAATACACTGTAATTCAATAACAAATAAAAATCAGGATTAGTTATATCAGTAGCTTAATGATTTTCAATACAGAAAAAAAATGGCACGGCAAGGGATTCTGAGCAACTTTGCCTTTCAAAGCTAAAAACATATACACTAGAGACAAATCTATTTATTCTCAATCTATAGGAAAAGTTGTAATACCTCTTCTTTGCGTTTGGCTTCTAGCTCTTCAAGTTGTCTAATACGTTCCTCCTCTTCTCTCTTTGCTCTTTCCTCCTCTTCTTTCAGTTTAGCCAAGGCTTCTTGCATTGCTTTAACTGTGGCCTTACTGGGACCCTTTTTTTTCTCTTTTTCCTTTTCATCTTTCTCTCCTTTCTTTTTCTTTTTATCTTTATCCTTTTTCTTCTTCTCACCTTCATTATCATTGACTAAAAAGGAAAGTTAATTGTTGAAGCACAAAGGATAATTATGCATAAGAAGAACTTAAAAAAGTAACGAAAATTAGAAATGCTTAAAACTCTTGGTATTTTTTTCTCTCCCACAATTTACTCATGATAACTTTCAAAACTGTCAAGCATGAAAAGCCACTTGAGGGGAGCCACTTTTTATGAAGAGTCCTTCTTATATACCTTATTATATGAAAAGAAAAAGCATTTGCTTTAGGTAATTTTAAATAAACTATCAAATCAGCAACATGAGTAACTAGGCAGCATTCAATTAATGTTAACCGCAGAATAAGCTTAAAGAAAAAAGGAGTCAAGAATATTATCATCAGTTCCATTCATTAGGTTATAAACTGAAACCTACAAAATTCTTACTAATCAAAAATTAAGTATAAATCCTCTTCTTCCTAAATATGTCTTTCACAAGCAAACCCAATTTCTGAATGAACATATAAAGTCAGAGTGGTATCATTTGCTGATAGTCAAATGTGAAAAGATTTCAGGATAGATGCTATAAAGACTGATCTTTATAGATTTACATTTCTTGGCATATTACAAGATTAGAGAAAAACACTTCAATAGTCTCACTCCTTACTTTTGTTGAGAAACCAAGTATACATTTTTTTAAAAAAAATCTATTTCTCACATATTACCCAAATGTTACTAACCTTCTGCTGCTTCTGGGGTCTCTCCCTTTTCCACAGTGGCAGATGTTGACAGCTGAGCTGAGGCAGTTCCTTCGTCAGTCTTCTTCAGCTTTGCCTGTTCTTTATTAGCTTCCAAGTCTTCCTTTTCCTTCTGTTTCCTTAGCTTAGCCTTCTCCTCTTCCCGTTTTTTCTTTTCTCGTTCTTTCTTTTCTGCCTTCTTCTGAGCCACAGTTTTTATTTTAAATGAAGAGTCATCCACGTCATCACCGCTTTCGGTCTCAGCCACTAATTTTACCTTCTGATTTTTCTTCTGCCCCTTTTTTGCCTGCGGGCCTTCATCCAATTCATCTTCACTCTCACCAGAGGACACAGGATGTGCCAACTCTTTGCTCTTCTTCACAATGCCAGTTTCATCTTCTTCAGAAAATTCGTGTTTATTACCTGATTTCTGAACTTTTCCTTTCATTTTTTTAAAATCAAAATTATCGTCATCATCACTCTCGGAGAGTAGTTCTTTCTTGGGTTTGAGGGACTTTTTAGATTTTTTTTCTTTGTCTTCCATTTCTTCATTGCCATCTTCCTCCTCTAAGCTAGCCTTTTTATTCTTGCCTTTCTTCTTTTTATCTTGTTTTGACATGACAAATTCTTCATTTTCATTCTCTACCTGATAAAATATTTTAATATCATAAATTGTAAATAATCATAGAAATCATATGGTTTGTGATCACTACATTCTCTGACTATTAAACATTAACAAAACACCTCTCAGAAATATACCTCCCTCTATTTGGTTGGGAACGGTGGCAAAAGAAATCTGAACAAATGCTTCAGATGGTACATAAAATAAAATCTTGTTCAAAAAGTGTAGCGAAGTTATACAATAAATAGTGTTTTTTGCTGAAGATCTTGTATGTGTAAGGTTTTCTTTTCATGTGGCAAAGGAACCTTCAAGCACAGCACTGCATATGTGAACTTTTTTTTGTCTGGACTTTATTCAATTGTTCCTAAAAGGATGTTTCTTTGGAATATAATTTGTTAAGTCTTAAATTAGTAAGATTATTAGACTACTCTTCCTTTTCCTGGTACTGTTTTCTTGTACAACATGATAAAAATTCAGTTTCAATAACACACCTGATTAAGTTCATATTTGTGAGAAGGGACTGTAGTTGCAGAGAGAGGGAGGGAGGAGGGCTAAATTAAACCCATCAGCAGCAGAATCAGGGAGTGGGTTAGATGGGGTGGTGCAGGAAGACCTTAGCAGTCCTCAAAGGGAATGAGGGCAAGCAGTCATTCACGTTGTAGAGCCAGGCCCAAGATCATAACAACAACAGAACGTACAATTGGTATAAGGAAAGTGTCTGTAGGAAGGATGTGGGGGGAGAGCAGCAAAGCACGAGTTAAGTCCATAAGTGAAACAGGGGTGGAAAAAGAGGCAGGTAGAAGAGTTATAGAATTGGGTCTAGAGCCAGTTGCAGCAGCGTTGAAGGCCGGATGGCCTGTGGTCAGGATGGAACACAGCAGGTCAGGAAGACACTGGAGGTAGTTGCCCTATGAGGGAAGCAGGAAGCTACACAGATTGCATGGCTGGAAAGACACAGGGAAGAATGTGAACAGTGCTGACCTCTAGGCCAATAGCAGCAAGATTTGGAAATAGTCTCTCAGGAGTCTTTGGACAGGATGGTGGGCAGATGGGCAGCAACACTCTGAGGCAAGTATTATAGAAGAAAGCACTGACACCTAAGACTTGTAAAAAAATTCTTATGTTTGCAACTCTTCCAAACAGAGCTGGACAGCTGTCAGAACTTGGACCAAACTAACTGGATAAGCCAGCAGCTACATTGCTGTATCCCTCTTTCTCTGACTGCCAGATTTCTTTTGGTGATAATCTGAAAGATAACAGCTTCCCTGGATAGGCTTTCAAATGTTGGCAGGAAATGGCTGCCTGATAAGGTGAATGGCAGCATAGAGCCCTGCTTTGCAATATCCTTTGGCATCGTCCTGCTTCACCCTCTTCCCCCCTTCTCACAGGTGCCCTTGATTGCATTGAATTCTACCACCACTGCTAGCCTTGGGAACAATTCTGCAGAGCAACCACTTGTCTCCCGTCAGTCCTACAACCTGTACAGCTCCAAGCCCCCTCAGAAAAGAGTTGCCCAGTCAACTTAGGGCACCTTTATCAACAGGAGCCTTCTTCCTGGTCCTTTTTTTGCTTGGCACATCTCCCTTGGCTCAAGCCTCTCAAGCCGATAACCTGTCCCTCAGGACATTTCTTGGCTCCTTCCTGCAACGGTAGCCCATCTCTTTCAGGAGAGTCAGCATGGATAAGATCTGGGTAGGGTTTTTTTCCCCAGCCCTGCATTCCTGAGGCATGATTAGGTACAATTGCTGAGCATGAGCATAGACAAGAGCTACCCAAAAAACTTAAACAGCAAGACAGGGGATGTGGCTGAGCTCCCTCCTTCAGGGGGCCATATTTGCACTAGCCAGGCAATGCATAGCCAGAACTACTTCTCAGGAACTGAACACCTAAAGCTCCATACAGGCCTTCTGGCAACCTGGCACTGGTACCAAATTCTGACAGGGCTCCAATTTTGCAGGCATAAAAGGGGATAAAGAATGTAATAAGGATGCCATTAAATGCTAAACAATTAATTGACATACTCAATTATTCCCATAATCCTAAGAAAAGTTTCATTAGCACCCTCAAATGAATTCATCCAACTTCATCATCCTTAATTCACTGGAAATCAAGGCAACACAACGCTTCAGAGCTTTGTGGAAAGCAAAGTAAATGCAGATGATTCATTATGGTTCAAAGATCAATAGCCAAATATTTCCTTTCCTAATATAGTTAGATTAAAGTATAACTTTGGTTACTGTATAATATCAAAATTTGCACCAATATTGGTTTTGACAAATAAAGGGAATTGAGATTTAGGTTGTACTCTGATACTTTTGTGTATCTGGTTATATGGACTATACTATATATGGCAAACTTTCCCTCTGGTGAATTTAAACATTTTGTTTGGATACAAATGAAATAAATGGACATTCCTTCAGGATTAAAGCTAATGGGATTGAAATAAAATATAAATTAATCTTGCATTTATATTTAAAACATCTTATTCAGTCATACTGATTGCATTACTTCTATAAGGTATTAACTTTCTCTGACATACATAACCATTAAGATTTTCATTGTATGCGCTGCACCATTTTTTGGGAAAACTGGGTTTCATTTCCTGCATTATCATATGATTTTCTTCTCTATTTAAAATGGAGTAATTCAATGCAGAAATCTATTTTGTCTATACGGGATATGTCAGAGAAAGTTTAAAGATGGACGCAATCACCAGGCTACTTGTGATGCAGTTTAGACATGGGAACATGAAGCTACTGGGTTTTCCTACCACTGTCAAATTATAAGTTTATGCGATTGTCAGCATTATTTTAGACTGAGCGCTATTAGTTAAGGATGTATGCATTCTACTTTGCTATATTTCTGATACGTGAAATTTATTTTAAAAAATTGATGTGGATTGTTTCATGTGTGGGAAAGAATTATGCAATATTGAAGGGACAAATTACAAATAACTTAGAACAATGGAATGTTGATATGTATCATTGGCGGTATTCGCCCAGTTCTGCGCGGTTCTGGGGAGCCGGTAGGAGCGATGAGCAGCAGAGACTGAACCGATTCTCTCTGCTGCTCTAATGGTGCTGCTATTGGGCCCACCCACCTGCCTGGGCTCCCATACTCACCTTTATCCGCTGAATTTGAAGCGCAGCTGCTTTGTGCGGCACAGAAGTGTGCTGCGCGGCAGCTGCTGAAGCAACTGGGATCATGCAGGTTTGCAGGAGGTGAGTTAGAACACCTCTGCGCCTGTGCAAAGTGCACGTTTGGTGCACACACGCACACAAAGTGTGTGCACATGTGCAAAGCGCTTCCACCAAGCCACGCCCACCGAACCAGTGGCAACAATATTTGAATCCCACCACTGATATGCATGAACTGTCAACAGTTTTGTTTTTGTTTTTTTACAAAAAAAAGCCTTTTGAGCAATCTGGTCAAGTGCTTTAAATATATTTTGTTCACAACTTTCCACACCACTTTCCAGAGAGGTGGGTAAATTTCAGTGTTAAATTATTATAGTGTTTCCAGGTGAATTAATCTGACACAAAAGATATACAACGTTTTAAAACTTTGAGCACCAGTTTTGCAGGATTTTTACCTTTGCTACAACTGGTTCTTTTTCAACTCTCCCACCTTGTGTTTCTAGAGACAGCTCTTCCAACTCTTTCAGGATATCATCTTCACTGCAATAAGAATTATATTATTTAGATCCTGTTTATATACTAAGAAAACTAAGGAAACAGAAGTCAATCATTGGATGAGTCTGATAACAGAATAAGAGTTGAGAGGGACCTTAGTGGTCCTCTGGTCTAACCCTCTACACAAGCAGATGACCCTATATCATTTCAGACAAATGGTGTTTAAAGTAGTGCTGCTCAGCAGTCTAAATCATAGCATTCCTTCCCTTTCATCTTTTTGAAACTTCTCAAAACATTTTAAGGGAAGGGGAGATATAGAAGAGGGTAAACTCTACAATATATACCCTACCATAATTTATTTTCAAAACTTAAATGTACTATATAAACATTCAGCAAGCTAATGTTTCTATGAGATTGGCATTCTCATGTTCCTTCATCTGGAAAACCATTTAAGAAGAAAATTAAAGCAGTGCACAAGTTCTGTTTCTCATATAATAGTTGGGCAGTGAAACTAAAGGGGAAATCATAGCCAATGGCACACAGATGAATAGGGAAGACAAGGCACTTTGCCTTGGCTGAACAACTCAGTAAGATGCTACCAAAACATTTCTGCAACTGCCAATAAAACTACAGGGATGAAAGAGTAGATTTGGTCTCTATCATCGCTATCACAATTCTTTCAGTCATCATTAAATGCACTTGTACAAGCCTTCTCCAAATATAGCTTTTTATCCCACATGTTCAAAGCTTGCTATAAGGATATTCACAAAGTCTGATTTCATGCATCTAATATAATTTGTATGACAACTCCTGCCTAAGCAAGGGGTTGGACTAGAAGACCTCCAAGGTCCCTTCCAACTCTGTTATTCTGTATATTCTATTTTATGAAGGACAAATTTTGTACTTACTCATAGTCCTGTTTTTTCTTTTCTTTTTTCTTCTTGCCTTTAGATTTTTGAGGCTCTTGTTCCTTGGCAGCACCTGCACCCTCTATTTCAGCAGCAAGGGCATCAAGATCAAGGTCATCCTTGGCACTAAAACAGCCCCGCAAAAAAAAAATGAATCAAAAACTAAAGAAATGTGAAATATATCTGATACAGAAGTTCAAATCTGTCCTTTCCAATACCAGCATTTTAAAGAAAACTTGTTCTTGAGTCTGAAAATCTCTTTTTTAAATAATTATTTCAATATTGCAGTTCTATTCAAGAGGCCCAAATCAAGTACAATATGCTTCAGGATTGTAATTTCATGTGTGGGGCACCGTTTATATTTATACAAGCAAAGAAAAATTTAGCCAAGAAGTTCTCAGCTTGGTAAGATTGGATATTGTATTATCTGCTGCTTAAAATAAAGGTTCCTTTGAGGCTTCTGGCAATTTTGTGGATAATCTATATAGCTTTCTTGGCAGAAGTGCATACTTTTTCCATAGTGATTTTTTTGTTTTTTTCCGACCAAAGCTTTCTGGTAGCTTTTCTTTCAAGAGCTAAACAACACCAAAGTGCTTAGCTTCTCAAGATCAGATAAAGTCATTTTATTATTATCTTTAGTTTTTGCAATGTATGAAATCATGTTAAACTTCTACTCTTTTTCCAATAACCTATTTTTAAAAATTATCTCAGAATGTATCTAGCAAGCATCTTCTGTAATAGGCATTTGCATTCAAAAATATAGTCTACACCAGAATGTGTATCATTTAGCTTTCTCAGATAACTGTAACATAAAGATGTTTGAAATAATTCCAATATAAACACTTAAGAAAGTTCAACGGTATAAGAGAAAAGGGGGTGGGATGGAGTGGAATGAGACAGTAATTAAAGATAAACTGGATAGCTTGCTCTAAGATAATAAATCGTTCTATCTGAAATGTTTTTAAAAAACAACACATATACTTCCAAAAATAATAAAAACCTAAATGTTTCAAAATCAACATTAGGAAATCAAAGTTAGGAAGAATCTGTTTGAAAAACCTTTAACAATAAAATACATTTATTTCATACATCCAATAAAACAGGAGATAAAAGAGCAAGATATATTTGTACCGATTTCATTATTATCAAAACCAGGCATCGTTCCCAACCTCATAAATTTAATTATAGTTACAATTTCCCTTGGACTGCAAGGCGATCAAACTGGTCAGTCCTAGAGGAAATCAATGCTAACTGCTCTTTAGAAGGCCAGATCCTGAAGACGAAACTCAAATACTTTGGCCACCTAATGAGAAGGACTCACTGGAGAAGAGCCTAATGCTGGGAAAGATTGAGCACAATAGAAGAAGGAGATGGCAGAGAATGAGGTGGCTGGATGGAGTCACTGAAGCAGTCAGCATGAGCTTAAATGGACTCCAGAGTATTGTAGAGGACAGGAAGGCCTGGAGGAACGTTGTCCATGCGATGGGTCGGACACAACTTCACAACAACAATTTCTTGAAGCACACAGAAAAAAATTATTGTTCTGACCCCTAAATGTAGCAATCTTTCCATAAAATAAACTATATCATCTCCTACTGACGGAGTAGAACTACAAAATATAAAAGAAATGTAATACATTGACTAAATAATCTAGAACTGTATATACTTTCACATTTGTGTCTCAAATGATGGTATATTTTATTGCTTATTTTGAGTCTAAACGCCTAAGAGTTCTGTCCCTTTTTTAACATCTAATAAATATGCAATATAATCTAATAAAAATCCTTTATAAGGATTAAGTTCATATTTTATTACATTCATATTTAGCAGATATCAAAGATCTATATAAGGAAATATATAATCATTCCTTAACCTGCTCCTCTAAGAAATTAACCTTTAGCCAATTGCTGTTTGTTTTTATAAATACATGTGATAAGACTCTGAAAAAATATTTCAACAGCTTCTCATTACCAAAGTCAATGTTGAAATAAAAATCACCCTTACCTTTTGCTTAATAAAATCTTTATTTTTCAGAATGTTAAATATCGGTATAAGCATCACTTAAAAGAGCTTTTAAATTTTTGCCATATAAACCAATATCACAGAAGCACCACCTGAATTTACTCTCATGTATAAAGGACTATCTTTAATTACTGTCTCATTCCACTCCATCCCACCCCCTTTTCTCTTACACTGTTGAACTTTCTTAAGTATAAGTGTTTATATTGGAATTATTTCATACATCTTCATGTTACATTTATCTGAGAAAGCTAAATGATACACATTCTGGTGTAGACTATATAACAAAATAATATTGCTGGAAACAATTTCTGTATATTCTGTACAGGTAATCCTAAACTTACAATGCCAATTGAGCCCAACATTTCTGTTACTAAGTGAGACAGATGTTATGTGAATTGACTTTGCTTATCAGAAGATTGCAAAAGAAATCACATGGGCATTGCAATCATCAATATGAATCAATTGCCAAACATCTCAATTTTGATCACATGACCAAGAGATTGCAACAACAGTCAAAAGTGCGAAGAATGATCATGACACTTTTTTCAGTATTGTTGTAACTTTGAATGGTCACTAAATGAACTGTTGTAAGTCTAGGACTACCTGTATATCCTATTTTTATCCTGACATTTATTTGGAAGAAATGTCATTTTTTTCTGTAGTTTACAAAATCTGATTAAAATCACACTTCTTGCATTAAAAACTACACATATAAATATCTTTCTCCCAATCTTTCTATAAAATATTTATATTTAGGGAGAATATGTTATCTCCTAAGAAAAATAAAACCATGGACTTCCGGTTTGTAGGGCTTTGGTGGCGGTAGGAATCCGTGATCATGCATGGTTTCTGCTTGCGCTCACCGCTGGAATTCCCCGAGCCAGCTGGCTTCAGGGCTATAGTTACCCCGTAGAGGTGACTGAAGATAGGGGAGACCCAGCAGGGGTCGAGGGGAGTCATACCTCCCCTCCTCAGCTGGCTTAACTCCCTTTTCCGAAAGCGGCAAGAGCAGCGGTCAGAAATGGCCGCCACAAAGAAGCACTCATCCAGAAAAGTATGTGCAGGAGGAAGCTGAGAAGTGAAAGTTTCGGTTGACCGGGATGAGAAGCAACATTCAAGATATCCTGGAATTTAAATTTTGGCAAAGGATACATCTCTCCCAAAGAAGATCTGGAAGCAGCGAATGAAAGTGAAAAGGGAAAGTTTGCTTCTTCTCACTCTCCTTCCTTATGGTGACAGCAGATGAATGAGAAATTGGAAAAACCCGCTTTGGCATCAGCAGGTAATTAAACTGGAAAATTAAAGCCAAGGGGACAATAAAGATTTCTGAACACTAAAAAAACTTTTTCTTTGCTCTAAGTGGGAAGGAAGAGGAAAAGAATTAAGATTAAGATTTGGCTGGAGGAGACTGCTTGGAATTTAAAAGACTAGAGCTAAATTGTAACAAGACTACTAAAAGATACATTTTAATTGGAACTTTGTAACTGAATTGCAACCCCAGGAAGAGAAAGTGAAAAAAGGAAAAAAGTGTTAAATGAAACAGCCTGTGTGTATTTGAACTGCTTGATGTCTTTGGGACTTTTGAAAATTATTATTTGAATAATTAAAAACATTTGGGTTGTTTAAAAAATTTTCTACAATGGCATTACTTGTGCATGAACTGAAAATGGAATTCAAAAAATATAAAGAAGAGGAACAAGAAGGGAAAGGTTCTTTTGACTCCGTTTTTCATTTTTTAGAAATGGCGGTTTCTACTTATGAGAAACTACTAGAACAAGAAGATTGGGATGAAGAAGAAGCCATCTTTAGTGAACAAGCAACTTTATCTGGAGAAGAAAGGGGAAAGGGGGGAAAGAGAATGGAGAATTTAAGACTTAAAAAAAACAACCAAAAAAGGGAAAAATAAGGTAAAAAGTGGATACAATGTCAGAAAGCAACAGAAAAGAGGGATACAGAAGAGGGTGGAGATCAAGAGACAAGGGGGTAAAAAGGGTAGAGTGGAGAAGCAAGGGAGGAAGGAAGGGAAAAGAAGCTACAAAGGTTTGAAACAAGATGTAAAGAAACAGGATTTATTTAGAGATAATGGATAAAAATATAACTGAAAAAAAGATTCTGCAAAGGTACATAAAATTGTATTGTTGTATTTGTATTAGAAATAATGTTAGAAAATTGGAACAACATGATTATAAAATGGGATAAAATATTCAATGTAATTCAGTGAAGTTTTCTTATTTTTTGAACAAAATAAATGAAATGAGATATGAGAGAATTGAACTAAGAAGGAATGGGAACATCTTAATTACATAATGTGTTAAAATATAAGTGAAATGGGGTGGAAGTAACTACGTAAAATTTGTAAGTGTTTCCATAGAAGCATGATATCTATTTGAAAAGGAATGTGTAAAATGCTCAAGACTTAAACGAATATTAATTTTAATGATAGAGTTTAATTGGTATGGATTGTTGTTTTAATATTATATATTTATATTTTTTTCTTATTTTAAAATATAGTGTGTAGCTTTAGAATGTACTAAGCAGAATCCGAATGAAAAATTATGTATTATTTTAAGTGTTAAATTTAGGGGAATGATATAAAGGCATCATACTCCAATCAGTGATTACAGGAAAAATTTTGTATTAATGAGAAAAGATAGACAGCTGAAACAGGACAGACAAAGGATATAAGTATAATGATTTAAATTGAGATGAAATAAATAAAATACAATTAAAAGAGTGAAAAGAGGGGAGAAGATATATAGAAAATGTAGACTGGTAAATAAGATATGGAATGGTATATAAAAGTGAGCATGAACTTGAATTTATGTCTGTACAAAAAAATGTAACGCGGGATCAAGCTGCTTTCCAAAAAGATGTTTGTTTTCATGTTTTGTGTTTTGTTTGTATATGTTTGTTTTTTAAAAATTAATAAAATTCTTGGGAAAAAAAAGAAAAAGAAAACCACTTTCAATATTTATATTTTTAAAAGTTCATTGAGGATTCCAGTTCTTTAACATTGTATCTTACAAATGAGAGTATTATTAATATTAAAATGTGAGCAGGAAAAAAAGATATACGCCATATGGATTTCATTAAAAACTCAAGCCAAGAAAAATATTTAAAAAGTGATATTAAAAATAAAATCTATAAACTCCATTCTTAAATAAAGGCAAATTTAAATTAAAAAGGAGGAAAAAAGGGACAAGAGGAAGAGGGAATAAAAGGAAGACTATCTAAAAAGCTGCCATGTTTTGCAGTAGTTAAGGACATAAATATGAATATATAATTAAGAGTTAAAGATAATGCACAATAAAAAAAATTAACCACCTTGTAATAGGAATTTAGAAGTGAGATATGTTTTAGACTGCGCACAGTAATGAAATGATTTTCACTGTCAATTGATCATTTTAGATTTCTTTTCTCAAGAACTATTTCAAGTTAAAGTTAGTATTTCTCTGTGCTGGTGAAGCTCTTTGGTATAATCTGAGAAAGCCATAATGATTGTCTTTATCTTCTCAGTCTATCGCATACATGTGCCTTCACGTCAATGCTGACTCCTGGCAAGTGCCTGGATGAGTCCCTGTAGTTTTCTTGGCAAGATTTTGAAAGTGGTTTGCCATTACCTGCTTCCTAGGCTGAAAGATGACTGCCTCAATCACCCAGACTGACCTACGGCAGAATTAGAACTCATAGTTCTCATAGTTCTCTTAAGCCTATGTGATGACAACATGACACCGTGGGTTTGATACTCCTGCTTTACATCCTCTCTGACCTGCAGGAGAATGGCATCACATCTTTCTCAAAAACTCTTGTTGAATTGTCTTTGATGCCATAAAGACAAGTAACAAACCAGTGTGCTCTAGTAATTATATATTTCTGGTTCTGGCAGTAACAATTAATGTAGCAATTAAATACATACCAAGATTTTTTTAAAATGTATGGGTGGCCATCTTTCTACTCCCTATTTTCTTCTTAGGATTAAAATGGCTGAGTCAAAGTATTACTTTATTCAACAGTTTTTGGAAACCACAGGGCTTTGTCCTATTATATGCTGTTCTGGTATTTTCCTGTGCACTACTGTCTTCTGTTTCAAGTGTGATACTTGCATATGTAACCATGGTAGGCTATTTCATCAGCACTGACTTCATGTTCTACATATTTACAATAACCAACTGATTCTTACTGTGTTATCTTATATTTCATTTCAAGACTGGTAAAATTCATGGCTTGTAGTTAATTACCACTAATGATCAGGCAGAAATAGTTGGAGCTCTAAAAGTTGGAGGCTCCAACAATTACAAGAAACTCAGCTCTGATGAGAAATGCAGCAAGCCAGTGGTCTATAGTACAGGATAGGTGAAGTATAGAAAGCCTCTTCTTTCCCAAGAACCTCAAGAGCAAAACCCTTAGTTGTTCATATCACTGTACTCTTCTTGAAAAGGCGGCCAGAAAGGTCTCCCTAACATACCCAACTCCCGAAAATTCACACCATTTCATCTAGAGTAAATTGTGATTATCGTCAACAAGTAGGGTTAAGAAGGAATGGTTTGATCACGTTTAACTTTGTTTTATCAGTAACTTTTCCACGTCAGGTTTGAACTAAAGGGCCAAGCGAATATCTGGAAGCACAGGCCTTTTTAGCCTCCTCCTCTCCCCCCCCCCCCCCAAATTTGACACTGTCTTTAAATAAACTCTAGCTCTCCTAACCGGAAAAGCGACTGCACCCAGAAGTCGCAGGGTGAAGTCGAGCAGAAAAAGCGCACACACCTAAAATAATTGCGAAGGAAACCATGACTAACAGCGCCTGTTTAATTGAACAGGCAAACAAGTACCGGCCGAGTCCTCAAAAGTAAGCAGTCCCAGCCACGAAGGAGATATATATATGAATTCGGACGGGCCCCTTGGGTCCCCCCCCCCCCCCCCCCCCCCCCCTCCCCCCCCCCCCGGGGGGGGGGCCCCCCCCCCCCCCCCCCCCCCCCCCCCCCCGAGTGAGAGAGGAGCTGCCTCACATTCCTGGACTGAGGAAGGGGCATCCCTCCGCGCAGCCTGCCTCAGCATGTTGGAAGAAGAAGAAGAAACGCAGGGCTAGCAGCCCTGGGCCGGCAGCCACCGACTACTCCCGCTCCCCCGCCCACCCAGGCCACGTCCAGGGCTCTGGGTACCTGTCTTCGCTCTTGTTTTTCTGTTTTTTGCCCATGGTTGCAACCGCCTCTCTGAGGCTGGCTCTCTCGCTCGCTCTCCTTGCGCAGGGCCCAGACAGCCGCCTCCACACGCGAGAGGGCACATATGGTGAGAGGCCAACGCGACGCGAACCCTCCACTCGGCAGCGGCCGACGATGTGCGCAGGCGCCTCACCTCTGGCCCCCTGGCACGCGGCAGGCGGGCAATCAGCGCGCAGGAGAAGCAGGTCGCCTCGCCAGGAGCTTCCGGCTGCGGCGACCGCCTCCTCTGGACGGAGGATGAACAGCAGACGAGCGCCTGAGTTGGGCCCGTATTGAAGATGAACTTGAACGCAGGACTGGGGCGCGTCCGTCCCTTGAACGACCGGGGTGGACCGAGCGCGCTCGGCGCCTCAGCGGCGGAAAGGCCCCGTTAAAGCGCCACCCTTCGCTGAGAGCCATCCCGAGGTGGGATCCGGGTGTTAACGAGATGGCGGGGGGGGGGGGGCACCCAAGCGTTGGGTCTTGCAAGGTCTTATGTGGCTTATTACAAGCTAACGGAATTAGCGCGACTCGGGACGGTATGTGCTGCAGGAAGCATTGCTTTTTCTTATGAATCCCCCTCGCTCGAGCGAGACTTTTAATCGTAAGTCGTTAATTAACGTGAAAGTAAAGCCGCTAAGCAGCCATCCCGCTCCCTGGTATTCAAGCAAAGGATAAGCGCACGACGCAAGCGCAGAAGGGATCGTGGCCTCTGACAGGTGACTGCTGCGTCAACAATAAAACGTCTTCAGGACGCGTCGGAGACGTTAGAGGCGCATGCGCGGGACACCCGGGGTGACCAGGTTTATTTGCTGCGCCAAGTCGTTGTGCATTGGGGGCTCCTTTGGAGGCTCATTGGGGAGGCCGGTTGGGCGACAGAGGCTCAGGGAGAGATTTTTGTGGTTTGTCTACGCTGAGGAGCGTTCCTTTGTTGGCCTTTCGATTTCTAACTAGTAAGTATCGAGCCGAATCGTTACTGTTTGGTTGCCTGGGTCTCGAAACGATACAAATAAACGGTGTTTATGTCTTCGTGTTTCTTTTGGAAAGCCTTGCTGCTGATGTAATAAACGAGGAGTGGGTTGGATGCATCTCTGTTGCTTTTAGATTTAGGTGTCAGCTTTGGACGGATAAGTATATTTTCCTTATCGTCCCTAGCAGAAATTGCTTTTTCTACATCATGATATTTCAGATCTTCTTAATTGAAATCGTATTTCCAGAATACGAAGCATGATGTCCTCACAAAACAGCCATCCCAACTATTGGGGACATCCGTATTTGGAAAAAAAAAATACAAAGGTCACTCAAAATTTGTATGTTGTTAAATTGTAAATGGGACACTGACTGCAAAGCAAAATAGGTGAATGTAGTAAAGTTTTCCCCTTTAATTTTTCATTGTTAAAAGTGGTTTATGAAAATTATAGTTAAAAAATATCAATGCAATGGAGACATTTGTGTTATGAAGAATAAGATATCTTTTCTAAGATAGTGCCTATGAGAGAGATTTGTAATTTAAAGTTTGATTAAATATCTTATATTAATGAAAAAAGGTTTACAATATTATCCTGCTTTGCTGAATTTCTTTTCTAGAGTAAGAAACATACATTTAGGAATTGCTATTTTCTTGTAGTATACATGAGATTTATTCTGAATTCAATTATGAATATTTTGGATGCAATAAATGAAACATTTTGTGTGCATATTTTGATTTAGCTTTTGCCTAATTTAGCAACAATAATACTGTATGTTATATTGGTATCACAATCCATTATTATAAGATATAACTGAAAAGCAATCATTTTGCCATTCTTAACATATTCGCTTCAGGATCTTTATATATTTGGTAAGTTATCTCCAGATAGATTCTTTTACTGTGGTCTTATGTCAATGCTACATTTTCATTTCTTTCTGATACTAGTTTTATTTCTGATATAGTTTCTTGTTTGTATGCCACATGATTCTTTTTATTTTCAAGAGAGCATTTGGTATTATTTTAGAATTTTTTTCATTTACTAAACAAATGTTCTAGTTAACACTTTAATTAGATAATCCAATGCTATTTGATATATTTCACATCTTGTTACTACATGCTTATGTCTAAACTTGCAAGTCCAGGTTACTCATTGTTAAACGTAGAATTAGATTCCATCAGAAAGAAATTTCTATTTACCAACAATGGCAAAGGGAATATTGGTTTAAAAAAAAAAAAAAAGCTTCCACGGTCCAGATAGTATCCTTGCCTCTCCTCCAAAATCTTGCTCTTCCTGATCAGTGATCTGGTAATGGAAAAACACTGGTTTCTTTCCTCCCAACACAAGATTACTCTTCTTTTTCTTTGTGGAGAGAGAAACTTGCCTTTTATTCATGGTTAGAAAGAATAAGAATGGTCATAATTTCCTGCTCAATGTGTTTTGAGAATTATATATTCAGAATGAATTCATTCTGAACCCAATTCTGTAATTAGAGTACGGTATTAATGATTGATAATTTGTCAAAGCAGATTCTTAAATTATTTAAAGACTGATCTGGTCCAGATGGACTTGAAATTTTGTACTGTATGTTTTCCTATCTACTTACAGTTTCAAGGGTATGTTGCCCATTATAAAGTAGAAATGGACCTAGATTATGCTCCAATGCGAAGTACCAGATAATCCACTACAGCATTTCTCATCACAAGTGTACCAAATTAGAATATTACTTTAGTAATCCTCACTTAAGAGAAGATATATTTAAAATGCTGACTAATAATAAAAATGGTTCAGATATCAATCTCTGTGCCTCTATGTATAACAACTCCCCCCTCCATACAAGGCTTAAACCAAATAATCAGAATAAAATGTATGCTGTCAACAATCCTTCTGTCAGTGACCACTATTTAACTATAGCGAAAGAATCAACTGCAGTCATCTTTTCAATTAAATATTTTATCGCTCTTCTGAATCTGCTTTCAAATTCCATTATGTATACAATTGTTATTATAATAAATATATTTTCAATCTGTCTGGTTCTAACTTAAAATCTACTTCATTTTTCAGGTTTAATGTGTCTGCTGCTAATTTGAAAAGAAAATGGATGCAGATACTTCTGTTGATGTATTTTCCAAAGCCCTGGAAGCTCCGATGCTTCAGACATCTAAGATTTTAGAAGAACAGCTTGATGCTGAAATACAAAAATTGGACCACATGGATGAAGATGAACTGGAACTTCTCAAACGAAGAAGGCTTGAAGGCTTGAAGAAAGCTCAGCAACAAAAACAGGTAACTGACAAATATAAGAGTCTAAATCCCTTCTCCTGTACTGCATTTATAATCTTGGAATATCTCTACAAACTAGACCACTCTTATTGCACTAATGCACATGTGTCAAACTCAATTGTGTCACGTGACGTATCGCAATTTTTTTTGCCTTTGCAGAGTTGAGGTGGGCGTGGCCTGCACATGATGCATCTGGCCCACATGCTGCCAATTTAACAGGCCTGCACTAATGCATAAAGAGATGAAGTTAACAAATATTAGCTTGTTTCCAGTCGCAGAGATTTGAGATGAAGCAAAATTAAATAGTGAATTAGTAAATTCCATTAAAATCTGAGTTTTAGTCAACATTCATATGTTTATCATTACAGTCTTACAATCAATCTTTGCAAATTTAATCTAAAGTACTTTAAGAGATTCAGTGAAACACACAAGTATGAATTGCCTCAGGATATAGTCCTATGCACACTGGGAGAAACCCCTGTTGACTTAGACTACCTGATTCCCTATAGTCAGACATAGGACTAGCTACTATAACATTTCAGCTTCCTGAATTCTTTTGACATTGACTGACAGATTCTTCAAGTGTTGAACAATTCTTACTAAAGCCAAAATTGTCCGTTCATTATTTTTCATATAGTGGATGTAAAACAATATTGTGCCCAAATACATCAGTCCATACATATTTTAGGACTTCTGGAGTCATTACAATTATCAACATCAGTAAGTTTTGTGATATAGAAAACTGAGGAATATACACAAGAGTAATTACAAATCTTTATGAAAGGCAGCATTGAGTGTTTTCTGCTAAAGAAAGTTTTTGGGAGCCAAATGGTTACCTTTGAGCTTGAGTAGTATGCAGGAGGCCACAGTTTTAAAAATAAAGATCAAGTAGAAAAGTGAATCTGATTTAATTTACATTTGCAATGTAACTCAAATTTAAACTAAGTAATTGCAGGTCCTATATTACTAAAATAGCTTAAAGAATTCCAGTGTGGATGTGAATTTTGAAATACAGATATTTTTGACTAATTAAATGACTCTAAATACACCATTGTTACAACCCGGTGTAATTCCTGGACATAATTGGTGGACAGGTTAGAATAAATATATGCATAATTTCACTGGAAATTTACTTCGTATTAGAGTATTAACCATTAAAATTTCATTTACTTTTGGAATACAGACTTTCTGTTCTAGTCCTTTTATTTATGGAAATGGTTTATAATAAATGTTTTTATTTAAGTATATGATTCATTTGGAACTAATGTTGACCAACTTCAAAGCATGTAAGAAATGCTAAAATTACCACCAGTGTAATTTTGAGGTTAGGTTTTGGATTCATCAGATGAAGCTTAGACATAGTAGAACTTGTCCTCATGGAATAACGGTAGAATTATAATCTTATGGAATGAATTTGGAATGATAAAACTTTGTATTCTTATTAATAGGAATGGCTTTCGAAAGGACATGGAGAATACCAAGAAATCCCCAGTGAGCGAGATTTTTTTCAAGAAGTGAAAGGGAGCAAAAATGTGGTCTGTCATTTTTATAAAGATTCAACCTTCAGGTAATCCTCGCTAAAATTATTAGTTGAAGAAATCTCAGAAAAATTGGAAACTTTTTCTAGTACGGACTGAGTTAGTGTATTTTTTTTAGCAATGTAACCTCTTAAAGTGAATCAGTGTTCGTATTATAACCTAGGCATGGGAAGAACCATTATTCCTCAATAAAAACATAAATCACATAGGGTCTGCTGAATGGCAACTGTTATTATTGTTCCCATTCAATATTACTAACACTATAGTGGTTATTCAGAAATAAATCTCACTGTTAATTTGAAATTCCTTTCAGGTTAATGAATTGAATTGCCATATTTTTAAATTTAGGAGCCCTTTATAAAACCAACTGGAAATTTCTGGTCATAATTGTAATTGCGTTCATAATATGGTTATTTGCTTAGCCATTGTTTGTTGAATATAATATATTGGATCTCCATATCATTCCAAATAATATTCAAGGAAGTTGATAATGGTTTGCTGAAGATAGGAAACAGTTCAGTGACTCTAAGGACAATTATCTGACAGATTTATTGGAAAACCTGATGGCAATAACCTGAGATACCTTTCAGATCCAAGTGTTGCATTTTTCATAGTATCAGCTCCCCAAGTCAAAATGAAAAGGAATTTAAAAATACATTTTGGGTATGTGCTTGATAATTTATTTACACACTGATTTTAATGTTTAATTATATCTGTATAAGATCTTAAATAGCAGAATATTGTGTCTAGAACAATAATGGACCTTGTTTCACTCTTTTTCAAATGGACAGGATGACAGGCTTTCAGGGATGGTTTAATAGATTTCTTTACAGAAAAAGGGATTTGGGTTAGATTACTTACAAGTCCATTTTAACTTTGATTCCATGACTATATTATCATTGGCATAGCAAAACATGAAAGCACACTTCAACTAGCACTTGTAGTATTTTTAGATGGTGGAAAGCATTTGAAGGGGCCTTCCTGAAGTGCCTCTCTTGAAAATGTTGAAATAACCATATTCACTTGGCTCATTCAAAGGGTTTTCCAGACATATATGCATTTATATGCATACATGTATAAAAAAACATTTCAGCTGTTCCTGCTGGTGAAGCAACTATATATACAGAAAAATGAAAGCATAATTCAAATGCTTTGCACAGCTTTACTTGAATTAGAAAGCAAGAGATGACTTGATATTTCACTATTTAATATATTAAATGTTTATTTTTCCTCAGATGTTTAATATTTGATAAGCATTTAACAATACTTGCAAAAAAGCATATTGAGACTAAGTTTATCAAGTTAAATGTTGAAAAATCACCATTTCTTTGTGAGAGACTTCGCATCAAGATAATTCCCACATTAGCACTAGTAAAAGATGGAAAAACTCAAGATTATGTTGTTGGATTTACTGATCTTGGCAACACAGATGAATTCACCACAGAAACTTTAGAATGGAGATTGGGTTGTGCAGATATCATCAAGTACAGGTAAATAAAATGAATCTTACTGTTATATAATACACTTAATATAAAAATATCTTCCTGGCAAAGTAGTGAATGATATTATATTAAATCATTTTAGGCTTCCCTGATTTATGAATGTTACCTAATGTATTACAAATATTTTTATATCTTTTATAAAATATATACCTTTTATATATGATTTTTATGTCTAGTTCATATGTCTATATCCAATACCAGATATGCCAGTTTACAGAGAGCCTATACAATGGGCCAGCACCAGAGGTGGTATTCAGCCGGTTTTGACCAGTTCTGGAGAACCAGTAGCGGAAATTTTGAGTGGTTTGGCGAACCGGCAAATACCACTTCTGACTGTGCCCCGCCCCCATCTGTTCTCTGCCTCCTGAGTCCCAGCTGATCTGCTGGGTCTCCTTTGGTTGCCCTGCACAGGAGAATGGAGCTGGAAAGCAGGTCAGTGGGATGGGGAGGGAATGGGGATTTTGCAATATCCTTCCCCTGCCACACCTACCAAGCCACGCCACGCCCACAGAACCGGTAGTAAAAAAAAAAATTAATCCCACCACTGGCCAGCACCCAGCATTTAGATCTACATTCAGTAAAGACTTCAAGGGAAAAGACCTTGCATGCATATATGAACTAGAACTAGATCACTTTCATTAGAGGAGATAGTCCCTAAGATACTCTGGAGCCAAGATATATTGTCAAAACTGATTATTCCAACTGAACGTGGCAGCCTTTTGGTAACCAATGCAGCAACTGGATAATATATGTAATATTTTCATAACAGCCACTCACAGTCTGGCTGCAGCTTTCAAATGGTTTCCAAAGGCAGTCTATCAGTTTCTGGACAAAGCATCCTAGTTCACATAGGATCACAACTGATGCACTAGCCTTTTAGGTAAGGCTAAGTCATGTTCCCACCTGTTATTCCACTAGCAACTGCTAAAATAACCCAAAATTTCAGCCCAACTCCTTTAAAGGAAGTCTTGTCCAGAAGTAATACTGGGAATTACTTAATTCTCAAATCGGAATTGTTCTGAACAAAAAGTAACTCCATCTTTCTTGGATTAAGTATGAACATTTTCCAAATGCTTGACATTTCAGACTCTGGTCTAGGATTTCCATTGCATCTCCAGTTCAACCTGAGCATATTTGTGTATTAACATATTTGAGTATTATCAACATATACTTCATGTCTGACCAGCAGATGATTTCTGGGGGCTTCTTGTAGATATTCAAAAGTATCATGGATAAGTCAGTCAAATGTTTGACCATCCCTTCCTACTAAAGTAGGAGTGGAACCACCATGAAATGGTCCCCCCAGGCCTTGTAGGCAGTCCAGTAAAGTACCATGGGCAATGGTATAAAAAGCTGTATAAGTTTCAATACGACAAAGAGGGGCACCCTCCCGCCTTCAAGAGCCCAATGCAAATCCTCCAAAGCCATCTGTACTGTTTCTGTTCCATAGATAGGTCTGACCCAAAGTTATTCAAATAATTCTTTTCTAGTCCAAGTATCAGCAGAGCAACACATCTAGTCATAGCAAACATTCCATGCACAGTCATTGCCACCATCACTCCAGACACAACATTGCATCTGTTGATGGACCTGAGATATAGGAGGGCAAATTTCTCACAAAGCTATTTGTTTCATCACTGCCCAATCAGGTTTCGTTAATACATGCCCATTTATCCATCACCATATGATGTCTGAATGAGATTTTATTCAAAACAAAACTAACATTTGTCAAAAGCAGCCTATATCCAAGGCCATCAATTTTGACTAGAGGCTCATAAATATGGAAACCTGAAATAAATTTCCAGTCACTCACATAATTCTGCTATTGTTTTTTGCTCTCTTTCCTTTTCTTGAAACAATCCTGAGTTTGAATGCCACCAATCAAGTTCCTTTTTTAATTCCAGTGTTCTTCCCATTCAGGTTTATTTTTCTCTGTTCAGTATCTTTTTCTTTTGCCTACTGTCTCCACTTCCAACCATCAATCCAACCATATTCAAAGTTTCCTCATCACTTTGATTGTCAAATCAGTCTCAGTTGTCAAACATCCTAAATACTACTCCAAATCTTCAACATCTTTCCCTAATCTACTGAAAGACAACAGCAATAACAGTCCCCGAACAAAAATTAACTAGTTTCTGGGTGCCATTTTATAAGAAAAATAAGATCGTTTGCCACTGTGTGGACCAATTGATTACATTCAATCCGGCAGGGCAGGGCTTATGTTTTTATCATGCCTGTTAATTGTTTAAAATGTTTACTATAATGCTAAGAGATTCATGAAGTAAAATAATGTATCCCTTTTTTGATGTAATGACCTGGGAGCAGGGAGTGTTGGCTTCAGACAATTGTACTTCCAATTTGTGTTTTGCCGGATATGTCTAATAAACTGGTTTTTCAGACAGCTGTTACCTTAAGGATATTTATATTAGTCATTTCTTCTTTTTTAGTGGCAACCTAATGGAGCCGCCTTTCCAAAGCCAAAAGAAGTTTGGAACCTCTTTCACAAAATTGGATAAGAAAACAATCAGAGGAAAGAAATATGATTCAGATTCTGATGAAGATTAGAATTCATGATACAAATATTTGTAAACCATTTTTCTTTTATGTTTGATACATTTTTAGGAATGTTTTATACAGCTGTTTGCTTTCAGAACATTTGCACATGACACTCATTTTCTAACAGTTTTATAGAGCTCATGAAAGGAAATCTTAAATATTTCTTTCTCCTAGGAAATAATTTCTTAGTAAAGAAATTTGAACCCTTTTAAACTGTGTAACATGAGAGATTACTTTTAACATTTTCTTGATTTAACAATAGCTCTCTTAAATTGCATCTTAAAATTTATACCATTTACCATTAAGTTATTAATGAAAGACTTCTGTCAAGAATTGTTATTTAAACTATTCTTGAAGTAGTGCATTAATAAAAGTCATTCTAATAATACCATGACTGTGACTGTGCATGCTCTTAACTTCATTGCACTACATATTATAAAATTCCTGTAGTTTTTCTTTAAATTCATTTTGCCAGCTGTGTACACTGCATGTTAGAGCTGAATTAGCAATAAATACTACATGACAAATATACTGAACTAAAATTCTGAGGCTTGAAGGACAGCTTTTTTTTTTTAAACAAACCACAGGAAAATTTGAGATGTTTAAACTCATATGAATACAGGTTAATACACTGTCTTGCATTGTTGTTCTTCACTAATATACACATTTCCTGGCACAGCTTTTTGAAATATTAACAATCCTGTAGAACTTTGACAACCCGGTAGGTAAAAGAATATTTTCCTATATATCACATTTAAATATTTTCCACCTACAAATTTTGCCTTAGAAAAATTAAGTGTCACAGGAACTTAAAAGCCACAGATTAAAGTAAACATGGGAACTTTCCATTCTATTGGCAACCAATCAAATAACAATTGCTGCAGGGCACGAGATTACTGCAACTATCTTCCCCAAAAGGAAAGAAAATGGGAATTTAAATTTCTTTATAGAATGTCTTCTATGAAAGATAAAGACATTGGGTAAAGCATAAATGGAGGTAATAAACCTTCTACAAGTAAAATCATGCCATAGTTTTGGAATCACATTTAAGCTTCTGTTTGCTTTCTTCAAATGTTGGAAGGCATCGATGGTCACACTACTTTCTCAAATGACAAAAAGAAAGCATGAGAAGTTAATGAGGAAAGCCACAGGACAGAGATACAAGGCAGTGGGAGAGAAATAAATAACCCATGGCTTTCAACTAGGAAAACATGTTTGAGTGCGGGTCAGAGCATCTGATTCTCATTTTATAAACCATTGTTTCCAGAATAGTTATAAAACTTAACTGCCTTAAAAGGTTAATAATAGTAATCCTTAATAATAATTGGTTTTGTGGTGTTCAATTACATTACGTTAAACTAATACTCTGAGTATTATAATCCTAAAATGTTTTATGTCTCCCTAGAGATTACTTCATTTTTCTCAATTTGTTACTTTTTATAGTTATGGCTGAGACATTACAACAAAAGACTAAATGAGGCATGGCTTGGAACATTAAGCTGGTAGATTAAATTCAGGTAGTCCTCAACTTACAACAGTTTGTTTAGTGACTGTTCAAAGTTACAATAGCACTTATGACCATTTTTCACAATTATATTTCACAGTTATGACTTGCAGCATCCCTATAGTCATAGTAAACTGAAACCACCTGTACATCTGTTGCCATTTGGAAAAGGAATGGTCTAGTCCTGGCCAGTGACAGCGCTTTGAAGGTTCAAGCTAAATATACTTGCTTCTCTGGAGATGTGGATTTTACAGTAGTCATTGTAACACAATCTAATAATTGACTGGTATCTTCCACATTTTGCTTTTTCACTAATCTTTTAAACTTGCAAGTATCTTATCTGTAAAAATGCCCCTTCTACAGTAGCTGTAGTCAAGACCTTTGCAGAGTTAATTTCTTCTATAATCTTAAGTACCCTGTACACTACTTCTGATGCCATTGCATGGTTATTATTTATCATGGTTAAAAAAAGCTGGATCTTAGGCAGCAGTATTTCCCTGAATTTTAATTTTTTTTTTATAGATTATTGATTATCCAAACCAGTTCAAGAAAAATAAATCTCTTTCTTTGATATGATTGGCTTTTCTGAGTGCACATAAAAGCCCACTCATCACCAAATTAAATGAATTTTCAAGGAGGTAGTTAGAAGGAGCCATCTTCAGAAATGCTACAAACTTTTGTACAGGATTTCTGGGTCATATTACAACCATTTTTTATTTAAAAATATTTTGCCTGTAATTCAAAATTTACAATCATTAAGATGATGAATAAGCCTTTGATGATATACATTAAAACCATTTTTTAGTTCATAACCATATGTGGATATATTTACTGTCATCCTCCAACTTCTTTGTGTTTAATTGTTTGATATTTCATTTTAAATAAAAATAAGACTTTTTATATAATTTCCATTTTAAAGTGCAGTTCTTTTTCCCTATAATTATATCAGCCAAGAAGATCCGCTTAGTGGACAAACAACATAAAAGAGATCTCAGCCCACAAAAGAGGGAGGGTATGGGAAACATTTCAGAAGGGACCCTTCTTAGTTTTCCAGAGAGCAAAAGGAAAGAAGGGGGAAAAACACTTTTACAAGATTTTGTTAATTCTACTTCAAAAGGCTAACATAGCCCTTCAGATGCTGAGGAATGTCTGGTGTTCGTTGCCGGCTGGTGATTTTTAGTAAAAGAAACAAGCCAGAATTATCTACCAATTGCCGTCTTTAACTGTCTTGCATTAAAATTACCATGTTATCATGTTATACCATCATAACACTACTCCCTGGTCAAATGGAACAGTGCAAAGCATACCAGAAATTTCATCAGAACATCCCATTCAAAAAACCAAAAACCAAGAGCCATTTTGCTTCCAGTCCTATATAAAAGCTTTCCAGGAAAAGGAAGGAAAGCTAAACCAGGCCTGTTTATGTAGTTTCCTGCTAACAAACTGCTTAACAGACATAGCCATCACATGAAACAACAGGGAATCTTACTTCAATATCTACTCAGGCAGAAACTGTTGCGGAGCTGGCCTTATGCAAGCTAGGGGTTACAAGAATGAAATCCTATACAGGTAGTCCTTGATCAAAGTTATGATGGATCTCCCCAAAACTTACAACCCACTTTTGAAATTACATCTGTTGCAGTCCCCCAAGTGAACAAAATTTGGGCACTTGGCAGTCTGCCGTATTGCATGGACACCGTAGTGGGCTCAAGGACTGGAAGGAAATATTTAATACAATTGTGAAGAATTCTAAGAAATGCTAAGGAAGAGTGAAAATTATCGGCTCACCTCAAGATAATGTGGAAATACAAATTCTCTCATACTTTTCATACAAAAGCAAAATGGGGGAAAAGCCAACTGAAGCCAAGAACTTGGCATTTTGACTCCTCTGGAACTGAAGACAACTCACTGCAACCAATGAGCTGCAGCCAATTTGCTGCAGGACAACTTGCCATGGCCAACTTGTGTGGGACAATTTAACAATTCAATTTAATTATTTAAAATGAATAAAACAATTAATTTTTGTTATTCACATTTCATTCTGTCCCTCCATTTGCATCCTTTCTTTAATGATTCTATTCCACCAATTCTTTGATATTAGTGTAACTTTTGTCCTGTGGCAAGTTGGCTGTAGTGAGTTGGCCGTGGCGAGTTAGTCATGGCGAATTGTCATAGACGCCCACCCACCCCCGAGTTGGCTACAACTAGCTGAGTAAAACCTGCAGCAACTCCTTTACCTTTTATAGTCATGTCTACTGGCTGGAGTAATTTGCTGGCAGATTCTGACCTATTTGTTATACATGCCCTTGTGGTCCATGCAGTGTCTTTCAGTTCTTCAGTTTGTATCTAAGTCCCCACCTTGGAATGATTATCGAAGTCCAGCATATTCCATGGATGTCATACCAGAGATAATATGCTTCAGAACAAAATATATACCCTGTTTCTCCAACAATACAGCCTCCCCCAATAGGAAGTCCCAGCATGTTTTATAGGCATGAAATGAAATTAAGCCCCTCCCCCCAAATTAAGGCCTATATTAAAACATGTGAAATGGGGGGGAATGGTGGAGGGGCTTGCCATTAGGAAGTACTTTTGTTGCACACCTGGATATGGTGCTGCCTGCGTTGACCCGATACGAAGTGCCCCACCAACGTCAAGTTCAACATCCAAGCCATCGCCGCCTGCCCACTCAAAGATGCAAGGGGGGGAATTAAGTCACCACCAAAAAGACGGCCTAGCCATTTTTTCAGGGCTCAAAAGAAAAATAAGATCCGGCCTTATTATATGAGAAACACGGTACTTTTTGATGAAAGAAAGGTGAGTAGTTGTTCTTAGTAAATATGTGGTGCAGATACTTGAATGTTGCTTTTATAAGCTGCAGCATGTTTTTGTGCCATTAATGAAGGTTCTTATGCAACTGCTTTCATGTGCTGTGATGCAGTTATTGTATGCATGGTTCAAATTTGATGTGTTCTATCCCCGCAAATCTCCAGTCACTGACCAACCTAACAGACTTCAAATTCCACATCTATGAATACTGCAAGGTGATCCTTATTTGTTAATGCTCTGAGGAAGCCTTGCCAGAATAATGTCTGCAAAACATAAAGATATGTAAGTTTTCCACAGGAAAACTTTCTCCACAGGAGAGCATTTGAGGTGCCTTTGAAGTGGCCAAAGCATAGGGCTCATACATTAAAACAGTGGTTGCCAACCAGTGGTCCGGGGACCACTGTTGGTCAGTGAGAAAATTTCTGTGGTCCGCAGAGAAATGTCACCCCCAAAGCACCTCCCAAAGCAATTAATCCAGGCTGTGCAAGAACATAAGGCTGCACCACCCACATGGCCTGCAGGAACACAAGGCTTGTGTCGCTAGTGAGGGGAGGGGGGAAAGGGCGGAGGGGGGGGGACTTCTTTCTTCTTCTTTCTTATGCTGCTTTTGGCTGCACGCAAGGAAAGCAGCAGAAGTCTTTCTTTCTCTCCCCCAAACTCTGCCAGAAATGTGCCTTTCGGACCCTTCAAGGCATCCTGCTCCAAGAGATTCTGACAAATCTCACAAAGACTCGTTTCTGGTCTGCGGTAAGGCAGAACATTAAAAATATATTAATTTTAGAGAAATATAGATAGTGAAATATGTGGTATTAGCAAGAGAAAGAACAAGAAGTGTGAAAAGCCAAACCACAAGGATCAGATGATCCAGTCACAAAGTCATATTTGCCAAGAAACCTTGTCTCGCTTGTAACAAAACCACAAGCTAGGGAGTTTAGCAAGATGGGTTTGTGACATCCAGCCATCCTAGCCTAGCAACAGGGGAGGGGGAAAGCTGTGTTTCAAGAAACCAATGAATGACTGACAAGTTATATTTCTGTGTTTTGCCCCTTCTGAAGAAGTATATAGGCATGTGCTGTTCTATAAGAAATTGGTTCAGAAATAGTTCTGGCTAAAATATTCTGAACCTGTTTGCGCAAATAAAACCAACTTATTTTTTTGGATTCCAAGGTCTGAGTCTCTTAATTTCCTGCAACAGCGGGATTTAAAATAATGAGCTTGATGGTCCCTCAGGTCCAAA